GGGGGGGGCAGAGAGGGTGTGGGGGTGCTGTGGGTAAGTTCATTTCCTCACATTTTATGAGACTGTAAACTTACCCTCTAAGGCTTCAATGCACATTATTGGATATTTGATGTAAACATAGGTTCACGTCATCTGATGTTACACTTTAGAAAATTAGGCCCCATGTACATCATGCTAAAATATAAAGTTCATTAACATCATTGTGTCAGGGGTTTCTAGATCTAAACAGTTTACGTTGAATCCCACTGCTTCAACTAAATAAAACATTTTGCAACGCGCCTAGTATTACAATCTAAAACTAACTTGAAAACTTGAATTGATTTTGTTTTGTTCTTGTCCACCCTAGTGGACAAGAATGTCTTAAAGTGACACTAAACTCAGGAGTTAAATCTTAAAAATACATTTAACTGCATTAACTATTAACACAAATGTATCTTATTTGTGTAATCACTCAGCTGTAGATCCTCAAATCATCTCTGAATTGGTGCTGACACTGTCCTTCCTTCTGAAGAGTGGTTACTTTGGTTCCCCATGGTCTGTGTGTGTTGTAAAGTAGCTACTGCTCCAAGCTCACAACCCGTGATGGACTATAATTTCAGCTAGTTAACTAAACATGAGATTCTAGTCCATCACGGGAGTAATACACATATAGGCTAAAATTGTGTTAATAGTTAAGGTACTTGAATGATTTTTTATATTTTAACTCCTGAGTTTAGCATCAATTTAAAGCTCTAAACCAATATACAGTAGAAGATGATTATCTGTACTTGCTATTTTTTTTTTGTTTAAACAATCTTAGCTTTTTGGAATGTCAGACACAAAAGCAATGCTTTCATCTTTTCGGGTATAAAAAACTGAATTTGAAATAAAGTGGTTAAAAACACCTATCCACCAGTTTCTTGGTTGTAGATTGTAAGCCTTTTGGGTAAGCACCACATTTACATTCTGTTGCTTGTCCATATATTTTTACATGATGATATACAACACATGTTTTGTGATACCCACCAAGGTAAGGGATAACATTTTTCAGGCATGTATTTAAACACTAAAGATGCTATTTTCATGTCTTGGTCTACAGTGAACACTGTCAAGTAATGGCACTTAAATCTTATTTACATGTTTTCAGTAAATACTATATACATTATATCAGATATATCTAGTTCTATATTTCCATTATGTGAGTAAAACTGGCACAATCCTTTGGAGTGGAAAAAAAAGGTTTGTTTCCTGTTTAGGAAATACTGCCTACATACAGGGATGCAGTGACATAGTTGTGTATCAGCCCGGCAAAGCTGTTATAGTTAATAATTCCCATACTTGCTATGAATTCAACAGTGTAATGCATATGCAATTGATAGCAGGTGTGATAAGGAAACTAAGCCACAGAAAGGCACTAGAAAGTACACAAAATACAAGTAAACCTGTTTAGGTTACACACATTTGATATTTCTTAACATGGGTTTGCAGGATGTGAGTATATTTGCAATTAGTGGCATGTTGGAATGTCTGCTGTATATGTGAATTAGATTCCTAGTAATACTAGTTGTGTCCACAACTCCGAGGTGGGCAATTGTCAGGGAAAGGTTTTTGACATTAGTAGTTTTGTTTCTTTTTTCAATACGTTTTGTGCTGTGGCTAGGATTCTCCACGTGCTTATAATAACACCATGACCCTGAATGCCAAGAAATCTGTAAAATCCCAGAGGGCCTGTCCACACAAAACTGATGCTGGGAGATTTGAATCATCTAGCGGTTCCTCTTATGTCTCTGGGACACCGTCTGTGAAATCTCTACGCCTGAATCTCCAAGTCCATGACAACTCAACAGTTTGCAATTACTGTTGGATTTTTTTAATCCTGTATTTTGTTTTATGTAGAATGCTGCAGAATAAGACTCCATGGGAGTGTATAAAGAGCCAAGGAGATCATTCTGTGCAGTTGACCTCAGTGCAGATGATTCAGCCCAAAAATAAAGTAGCAGTTTTGGGTGAACATTCCCTGTACCCACCTTACTATTTATGTGCTGTGTAGTTACCCTGATGGTCTAATGCAAAAAATAATGCATCAGCCAAACAGACATGGGTTTCCATTTTTTTTAATTTTGTATGGCAATAATATAAATGTAAAATACCTTGCATATAAATATGCTTGGGCTAATTATAGTGATACATATTCATGGCATCAGCTACTGTGTTCTTAATGGACCTTTCTGAAGAAACATTTATTCCCGGCTACAAGTGTAAGAGTAAAAGAAAAAAAAGGAACATTATATGTATGAGTAAGAAATGTGTGATCAGCTCGTATTTTGTGAGGTAATAAGTTAAAAAAATTTTAGCACCAATATTAATTCTGTTAGATTCCTCCACATAAAAAAAGATAATAAACATATTTTACAGGTTTTTCATGCAAACTTGGCACCGGCTAATACGAGTTCTAATAAAGCCAGCTTTCAGTGTATCTGAAGTAGGAGAGCTCTGGAAGTTTTTGTCAATCGTTGTAAGCCAGAAGCTGTACTTATTGGCAAAGTAGTGGCAAGTCCCACGAGCACCATTGCACTCAATGAACGGAGTCGCTCTGAAGTCTTCCAGGCAGCTACCAGGAGAGGAAAGGGACTGTCCTCCTCCCTCGTCACCCGCGGCTGTATGCTGGAACACAACAACGACAATAAATGTTAGCTCATGAACAAACAGCACATGGGTGGATCCCGTATAATTACTATAAACACTCAACAGTTTACTTGAAATAAATGATATTCATTTCTTAGCAAAATATGTCGCCAATTTTGACAAATTTCTTTGATAATTACTGTAAATAGCTGCAGGCAATCATAAATGAAATCATTAAATGAAGGTTGTGCTGAAGTTATCCAGGAAAAATAATTGTACAGATGTGAGAAAGTCCACCTAGCTGGCTGTGCTCTGTGTCAGAGCTGTGTAAATATCAGGATTAAATCAAAATATATACCAATTCTGTGGAAGGTAAAACGGCTCTGATGTATGTTTTTCAAATGTTTAGTGAACTGTTTGCCTGGATTTCACTATAAGACTGCCACTTATATGCCTGTGTCATATTTTCCTGTGGGCTGTAATATTTGGTCAAATTACAAATCATATGTGCAGTGGAGTGAACATGATTAACACAGTGGATTCATGGTTTGGATTGTTTTTCCACCCTGGTATTTTGGCCATTCTTGAATGCTTCCTTGCATTGCCATGACATAACTTTCTACTCTCAGGTTACAATGTAACTGAAGGACCAAATAGTTCTCCCAAATAAATGAGTCAAGATTCCTCTTGACAAATCAATGTTTCAAAATAGCTCAAAATATCTAATAGAAATAAATGGGATTCCATCTTAAAGAAGAATTCCAGAAAAAGGGTTTATTAACTCTTGCAGTGCGGCTACCCCTCCACTGCAACGATTAAGTACTTGTTTGTGTCTAGGTTAGAAAAAATTATATCTATCTATCATATATATATATATATATACACACTCACCCAATGCTCCGAGCCAGCTTCTCCATAGACTGGTCCTCCCAGCCTCTATCCCCCTGCAGTAATCTAAGGTCCCTTAAATCATCACATCTATACACTATAAAGAAGATTCCAATGATGCAGTGGAGGAGGAGACAGGATGGAGTGAGTGCTGCGACAGCTAGCCGGTTTGGAGTTTCGGGTGAGAATACCTTGGTTATTTTAGCAGCTAGACAAAAACAAGCTCCCAACCCTTGCAGTTGTGAGGGTAGCCCCACTGCAAAGGTTAAGACAAAGTTTTTTTGGAGTTCTTCTTTAATATGTATACTTGTTCTTTCACTAAGATAAAAACCTGAAGATGATTGATAGCTGAATGGAAGTACTAAAGTACTGGGAGTATAAACTGACATGCATCACTTGTTATGCAGACATAGGGTTACTTGGATAAAACATATTAATCACCATAAGAAATGAATATCCAATCCACAAGCTTCGCCAGCCTTCTGGACAGAATGGGATGGAGCTATCTTGGCTGTGAACAGCAATCGCTACTGCAGGAGCCTCACAGACCGTACAACGACTTATGTACGACTTGATTTCATCTTCCACCACAGGCATCATGGGAAGAGAAGCAGTGGTTGACAGCCAATAGGATTTATCATTACGGCTGGCATAGTAACACACGTCTCCTGGATTGCAGTATAGGAAAGGCATTGTGCTAAAGCGCTGCAAGCAAGATCCAGCGAGACCTATTGAAATGAAAAAAAAAGCGTTCATTTTCAAGATCCTGAGGATTTTATTTTGCAACTTATTCCAAACTGTAAATAATAGCTTCAGTACTTGTTCTCTGTGTATTAAATAATTCTACCAGAAATCCTGTGTGCTGATAACTTTTTGTGCTTTCTATGGAGATGTTCTATAATTATAAAACAATTTGTGACAACACTGCTTCTCCGTAGATATATTAGAGTGAATTAGTGTTGTCACATGAAGTGTGCTATTGGTAGGATCACCAGAAAAAAAAATAAGGAAAACGAATGCAGCTACCACATCTAAGGAATGGTAAACGCCAATATCTTAAATGTGTGTCCTTGGGTTTAGATAAGCTTTAGTTTCAGTTCCAGATCATGTGTTCCAGATCTGCAGCAGCCTGCACTTGGTTTCTGACATCAGCAGAGTCTTAAGTGAAAGAAAGTAAAGGTCAGTTCTCACAATGCAGTGATGACACCCTATAAGTCTGATTTCAAATCACATGTCTCGGAACCATTGTGTCATGGCACCTGATTTTTCCAGTAAGGGACATATTTATAAAGCAGTGCATGGGACTTTCATCAAACAATCAATCCCCATCATTCCAAAAACATGCACCTGGAACATTTACCTGCAGTGAATGCTTTTTGAATGTCAAATTCACATTTTTATAAAGGTACCACTTGGTGTTTCAAAACTTTGCTGCTCCTAGACAGCAATTTTCAGCACCCATTTCTTTACCCCTTTGTGTTGGTGTTGCACCAATACCAGGTTTAGGTTAGTGGTTTGGTTAAGATTAGAGTAAGGATAAAGATAGGGTTAAGATTTATGAAGGCAAAGTTTTACACTGGGTGTATACTTATGTGGAAACACACCATGCATGCAATCGTGAATTTCAGTGCCATTTAAAATGAATGCACACCTGCAGTGCAGTACACTGCAATGCATGATAATGCACTAAAAATAGTGTAGGTATGTTTTCTGGTCTGTTGTGGAGCATTGGCAGCCCATTCAAATGAACGTATTAGACTAGACCTTAAAAGGTGTGAATGGGGCCTTCAACTTTATTTTAGAATAAAGGTTGAGTTTTAGGACCTGGTTAAGATTTGTTTTCAGATTGACGCCCCAGGCCAAAATTTACTACGGCCTTCCTAGTCTGCCTCCCTCCAGGGCATCTAGCTGTACACCTTAGGACAATTTAAGGAACAGCTTGTAGGCCTGTCTTAGCATCCCAGTTATATGTAATATTACATTATAAATAATGTACCCAGGTCTTGATTGTGCGCTTTCTCCTGTCCTTCAAAATACAATAGACTGTATCCACTCCACAATTTCGCCATGCCAATGGGACACATTGGCTCTTGATCAGTCTGGCTGTGTTTTACTAGAAGATAGCCAATGTTCACACTTCTTCCTGGCATCCCTGGCAGACCAGCACTACCAGGTACACCTGAAGTTCCTACAAAACACAAAAAGTAACATGATTTCGGTGTGTACATATATTGCTGTATATTGGTAATATTACATAAAGAGCAAGCTTGTACATGAGCACGATCACAGCTATACAGTATGTGCACTGAAGCTAAACAAAAAATGTCAATTTCATGATTTCACAACTGCCATCGCTGTATTTAGCTCCCCATAGTGCCGACCAGTCATATGCTGATCTCACTCATAAAGGAAATCACAATGACATTTTGCTGACAGGCAGTCACAATAGCATGACTTCCTATTCCCTGATCATTTAACCACCAGTCAGGCAACATTAGTTGGCCATTGACTATAATAGTTTACCAGTTATCAGTGCGCTCCTGATTATGTTCTATGAATGCATTATTTCATAAAAAAAGGATTGTAAATATTATTTAAAACATCACTGCATAGTTACAAAGTTAGTCACATCGAGTTCAAGCTACTGATCAGCATCATTTTAGTTACCTTTCAATCAAGTGATATAGTGCAAAAGACAAACCTACTTTTTTTACAACATAAGTATGGGAACAGAGGCTCTCGTTTAACTGCAACCTAATGACAGGCAATACCTAAATACTTTACATTTTCTTCTTCATTGGCGCACAACTGAGGGAGTTATTGGATAGCAATAAAAGATAGGGTATATACCTCTAGATCCTACAGGTCCTCTTTGTCCCATTAATCCCAGTTCTCCTCTTGCACCAGGAGCAGAAGTCCTTCCAGGTATTCCCGGCACTCCTTGCTTACCTTGGGGACCCTGAGTACCTGCAAAGCAAACACACTTTCTAAAGATTTCAATATTATATTTTTTTTTTGTCTGCTCCTTACAGTATACATATTTATCGATATTCTATCTTGAAACATGAATCTTTAACAAAGCATGTATGAACTGCATCTGTAAAAAGAGTTGCCTCTACGTCCACTATATTTCTATAGCTATCTTGTATAATTGACCCCAGGGCCGTTCGCACTAGATCGTCCGCTAAAATGCTCGGTTTTAGCAGATGGGCTAGCTAGTGTGTTGTGGCAGCTCTGACAGTGTGCATTGTATGACATACCACCAGAGCTGTCACTGTTTAAATTTTTTTTTTTTTTAAACCTTATGTGGAGTGTACATTGTGCACACTCCATTCAGGTCACTACATGCTAGAGCGGTGTGCTGCACTGCCATGCGACGATCTGTGGTGGCTGCAGTGCAATGCAGCATGTTTGCATTTTATCGCAGCACACCTCCCATCACACCTGTATTGTGGTGTGAATGAGACAAATGTAAAATAATTGTTTTATGTGTGTCCATGCGTTGATCTAGTGTGATATAACGCAGGTCACCACGGTATGAGTGAATGGGCCCTGGCGTATGTTGTCTAAAAGACCATTTTGCTACCTACATCACAAAATCATATCATGTCTGCACAGTAGAAACACACTTGGTACATCCAGCACAGACAGATCTTTTATACACTTAAAATTGATTATGCCAATTGATCAAACATATCGCTTACACTGTTTCACATTTTCTTGTAAATGTATGTACGGCATTTAATGCCCTTAAAACAGCCATACCTTTATCGCCTACAGGCCCTCGAGGTCCCGTGTCACCTGGATGGCCGTGGGGACCAACAACCCCCATCACTCCAACAGGACCCGGGTCCGCATTCACGCGCCAGGGTGCAGGAGCCAACCCTGGTTGTCCAGGTTCACCTTGTGGTCCTTTTATAAGGATAAAAAAGAAACATAGTTTTTTTTTTAATTTATTATAGTCAGAATCCAAAATACAGTTTAAAAAAAATTTGTTTAGTGACATAAATATGAAATATTGCATAGTAATATTTAGCATTCTGTTTTCTAGCCTTTAGTTTGAGCTTTGGGATCACATTTTACAGTTTCTCCCTACCTCCTGATTACAGAGCTCTATAAATCAAGCTGGGATTTATAAACAAGTAAAAAGGTCAGACTCAGAGCAGTAATTCATAATCTCTCTGAAAGGCTCCATCTGACATTTCTTTGAGAGACATCCTAGCGGATTGAAAGGAGTGAACTGCTGCTGTGCTCTCTCTCTATCCACAGTGCTTTGTGAATCCTTTGTCATGTATTAAATGTATATTTGTAAAACAAAGGTTATATATCTCGTTAGTTATTTAAAAAATATAGCCCAAAACATTATAGCTTTTCTCTAAAAAACAATTCCAGGCAGTAAGGAAAATCATTAAGTAGGCTGGAGTTTGGGGGTGGTGCAGGGTGATGAATAACATTTTTTGGTATGATCTGGAGTGTAAATGATTAGACTGCATCAGTGCTGTACACAAGGAGCCATGCAGAAAATCTTTGTTGAGCAGAGTTGAAATGAGTTGAAAATGTCTGTCTACATCATGGGCTTTGGACTAGATGTTTCCAGAATTCCAGTTTAGCAATAATTAAAGGACTGTCCATATAAGTGAGCAGTCCAGCAAGCTGGAGAAAAGCACCTAAGCAGGTAGGCTGTCCCCCCCATCTTTATTCACTTTTGTGTGCTTATTTCTATATACAGTATATGTTAAAATATTTTGGCCTTGATCACTAAACCCAGAGAAAGAAAAATAAGCCCAAAACTGGAGTTTATTTTTTCTGCAAACTTGATTAGTGTTATTGGCAAAGTCTCAACAATTTTGTGGTGGCTGTAGAATTCAGCAAACAAGGGATTCAGATCCACACATTGGTGCATTTGGTGTGGTGGCTTTTCAACAACAGTGACAAAGCAGCATGACTACAAACACATTTCCAGCACATATTGTTTAAAATGGTTTTTGTACTGACCTTCAGCCCCCTTGTCACCTGTTGGACCTTTGGGCCCTCTGCCTCCTGTAGTTCCAGGTAATCCAAAAGCCCCATCAATGCCTTGTTGACCTTTCTGACCTTTTGATATAAAAAACAGTGTTATGCAGGGCAGCATTATGGAACAAGTTAAAAAAGGAGAATATTGATAGTACACTCTACCTTTTTCTCCAGTGTAACCAGGAATACCAGTAAAGCCTTGGACTCCTCTGTCACCAGGAATTCCCTTCCCGCCATCAAGTCCTTGTAATCCATGTGGTCCTGGCTCTCCTTTTACACCCGGCCGAGAGGGCACACCTGGCCTTCCTTGTGGTCCTGGATAGCCTGAAAACAAACCCAAGAAACATGTATTAAAGGAGAATTATGATTTTCACTCAGCCTCATAACTGAGCCGACCGACAATGAAACTGTCACAGGTCGGCTTAATAGATCGGGGAATGAGCGAACACATAACGTTGCTCACTCACTTCTCGATCCTGTCCCTGCAGAGAGCCGTGATTGTCACTCACGGCTCCCTTCAGGGATTCCCCCCCTCCCCTGTCCGATCCTCCAGCGCTGACTGGCGAAACAGACGGGGGAGGGGGCGGGCACAGCTGGCTCTGCCTCTGGATAGGCAGAGCCAGCTGTCAATCCTGCAGCTGGGTGGATCCAGACAGTATTGTCGGGATCTGTCCCGGCTGCGGCATCTCAGTATACCGCGAGCTGTATCTCGCGATATACTGAGTTTTGGGTCACGGGAGAACGCTAGTTTGTGTTCTCCCATGACCCTTAGGAGAACTATGGGGAAAAGCCCTGATCCCATAGTTCTCCTTTAAATACTGGTTGCTCATTTAAGCTTGTAACATTTATATTTACGGCGACTAAGCAGGTTTTGGCTAAGGCTTGGAAATCTGCTTCTCCGAAAGTGTGTCACAAGTCAAGAGAAAGATGGCCTGGTATATGGTTATTGAATATATTGCTGCTATTAGGTTCGACTCCATGTGCAAGTTTCATAAGATCTGGGACCCCTGGGTAGCCAATTATATGTCACTGGAGGTCGAGCAACTGCTATGATTAGTTTCAGAATGGTCTCCGCTGGGATGCTATGGTCTGCACACCCCAGGTTCTCTCTCCCCACCCCCTTTCCCCTTCTTCCTCTGTTCTTTCTGCCGCTTTGGACCCTCTTTTTTTTGCCTTTGGGCCTTTCTTCTATACTCTCTCTTCTGCTTACTCTAATGCAGGCTCTCCCTCCTTAATCTGGCTTCTTTCTCCTTGTTATTATTTTGCTTCTTTGGTTAGGGCCTGTTGTACGTAACCTGTATATAGGGAAATCCTTTCAGGGACATTATGTGCTCATCTAATGGCTCTACACAGCTTGCTATCTGCTGTCTTCTTTGGTTTGAAATTCCTGCACTGTTGGTTTTATCTTGTTCTGTTTGTTTTCTTTGTGTCTAAGTATTTCAGTAATAAAACATATTGCAACTAAAAATACTGGTTGCTCTGATTACTACTGTCCCAACTAAGGTTGTCAGATTCATGGCTAATGCTGCAAAAGAGTCACTACTATTTTGCTAGTTAGCCTTACTGGTGGATCCATGAAAGATGTCATCTGACCACTGATTAAGGCCCCGTTCCCACTGCGCGATATGCAAATCTTGCGATATGCATATTGCGCGACATCGCGAGATTTGCCGTGCGATGTCACGTTCAAGCTTGCATTGAGCAAGCTTGAATCGCGGCTAAATCCGCTCCAAAAAGGGTCCTGCTGTAGCGACACACGACCCGCGACAGCAGGACCCTTTGCCCCATTGGATTGCATTGGAGCGCGATATCGCGCGGTAATTTGCCGCGATATCGCGGGAATTACCGCGCGATAAATCGCTCAATGTGAACGGGGTCTTAGGGTTCAACAGCATGTGACATACCAGAGGAGATGGGGCTCCCTAACTGGGCTAGACTGGTTTTACTATCTGTTGTATCCGGAGCCATAATTTTTCACTGTAATTGAGTATTGTATGCTAAGTAAGCTTAATAATTCTTCACATGTGTGTGTAATCACGAGAAACATATCAAAATGCTTAAATGGAGGTCTGCGTAGATCACATTTCAGTATTTTTGGTATAGTCTGAGCTTTCACCCTTTCCCGACAGGTGTTTACTTTATGTCTAGAACTTATGTAAGGCGCACTTCTTCACTGACCACTAATATAAGGAGACGGGTGCTACGCTGATCACAAATGTAAGGAGACACTACACTGATTACGAATGTAAAGGGGAATTTTGGGGCTAAAAAGGTTAAGAAAAGCTGTCCTAGAGGAAGAAAATTACCTGGCTGTCCAGTAAGCCCTGTAGGCCCCGTATCTCCTTGGATCCCGGACACATTTGAAACACCTGGAGATCCTTGAACTCCATTTACTCCAGGAAAACCAGTTTTGCCTGGTAAACCTAAAACCAATAGAAAGTTCAAACATAAATTATCAATGAGTGTAACTCATCTAAAATGATCTAAGATATTTATTACAAGTTTGACATTTTTCTTAATTTTACCTAAAGGAATGGTGCATGTGTGCACCAGACTGCAAATGATCATAGAGATGAATGCATGCACAATCTGATTACCAAATGATTTTTAACCTGAGTGATATATATATACCAAATGAGGATGTTTATTGCTGAGCGGACACTGCAGACCTAATAAAATCAACAATAGACAACTTCAGGGTAAAACCAACCCAGTTCATCAATAGTTCCACTGATAATTGTCTCTAAAGGTGTCTGATCACACATGAAGATGCCCATAGAGACATTATAATCAGATAATCAATCTGAAATTATAAGTTTGAAATGAATCAGGTGACTATCATCGTTTTCATCAGTTACTTACGGGGCTATTGACAAAGGAGCCGAAGGATCCAGCTGTAGCTTCGGATGATCCTTCGGCTCTCTTTGGCCTCTGTCGAACCGAAGGGCTGCTGTACAGGCTATTCACTATAGCCGGGACAGACTGAGCCGAAGTGACACCTGAAGGGGGACAAACGGCCAGCTGAGGGGCCGGCCCTAAGCCCCGCAAATAACAACTGGGCGGAGCATGCCGTAATCTCATGGCTGGTTCCGACCAGTTGTAATGACAGATCAGTGTCCCCAAATGACCTGGGGACACTGATCTGTCATTACAACTGGTCGGAACCAGCCATGAGATTACGGCATGCTCCGCCCAGTTGTTATTCATTGGCCGGGGCCTGCTAGAAGACTCTAGCAGGTACCGCCCAATAGGTAACAGTTGGGCGGAGCTAGCTGTCACTGCTAGTTCCGCCCAATTGTTTTTTTTCTTTTAAAAAAAATCTTTATTTATTTTTTTAATGTAATATTTATTTACATTTAAAAAAAATATTTTTTCTACTTTTTTCACTACTTGCTATTCTTCTCGGTACCATGGAGGTACCGAGCAGAATACCTGAGCCCAATGCCGCTTAGCGGCATTTGGCTATTCACTCAATGCCGTTCAGCCCCTATGTGAATAAGGGTGAACGGCAGCGAGTGAGCTGCTGGAGCTTTGGCTCAGCCGATCCAGATGTTGGATCGGCTGAGTTGAAGTCCTTTTGCACTTCTGCTCCGCCAAAGGCAGCCGATGTATGGCTGATTTCAGCCGATGTACGGCTGAAATCAGCCATACTGAGCCGGAGTGAATAGCCAAACGTTGTTCGGTTCACTTCACTACGGTTCGGTTATTCACTCGGCTGCCTTCGGCAGCTTTGTGAATAACCCCCTTAATGTTTTTCACAGAAATAGTCGGAGGCTGATATGAGTGCTTCTTCTGGGCCTTCTGTTCTGAAATTTGTAGTTTCTGCTAATTTTAGATAAACTAAATATATTCTCTGCTACTGTGAGACATTCTGGCATTATAATGATTGGCATTTATGTAAATTACATTGTTAATTATAATTTTTTAACATAGCAGTATTATAAAATGCGTTTCCTTTAAGTAGTTCCAGTTGACCTCTAATGAAATTCACTATTACCATTTATAATCCTAATATAATATTCACCTAGTGCAAGTATAAGTTATAAGTAATGTGGATTCAAGTGGTTTTCAGACATGCCACCTATCAGTATAAACAAAGTACAGGATCTGCAGAAAGTTAGCACACTGCATACACACAGACAGTAAATGAGCAAAATGAAAATAATATAAAACTCTTGTTAATGGGTCCTATAGGTGTTGAGTACAATTAGTTGCACTAACCTGACTCTCCCCGGGCACCTTGTGCACCTGAGTTACCAGGTGATCCAACGACAGTGCTTTGTTCTCCTCTATCACCTTTTTGCCCAGGAGAGCCTTTCACACCACCAAAACCATAGGCATCAGCCCCTATTTAGAAGAATGCATAGATATTTACAATAAATATCATAGATTGAAATGTGCTGTTCTACTAGAGCCAACTAATTCCAACTGTACCTGTTGGTCCCTGAATCCCCTTTGTACCCGTCAAGCCATCAAGCCCAGGAAGTCCCCTGAATCCAGGGAAACCTGTAAAAGAATTATCTATGTCACATTCAGTGCAATACCTGGAGAGTAGCTTAGATTTCTGTAGTGAAACTATTCATTTAACAATTACTGTTCAAATTAGATTCAGAGCTACCCTGCAGATCGCTGGTTCATGTATGGACTGTCCTGTCAGTTGAAGCTTACATAAAACTTGTTTTATTCTAAAGAGCCCAGATTGAATGTTTTAAAGAAAAACATTTTAGATGGTATGATGGCTTGAAGACTGCATCATGGTGCGCAAGAAGTTCTTGTATAACTGTATCATGAATATTTTTACATGACGCCGGTGCGGCAAGTGCCGGCAAAATGAAAACAAATGGGCGGAGTTGGGGACAGTAGTCTGTCATTGTATGACAACAAATGGGCGAAGCCAACCGTGATGTCACGACCAACTCTGCCCATTTGTTTTCATTTTCCCGGCACTTGCAATGTTGATTTGACAGATGCCAGCAAAATGTAAACAGATGGGCGGAGCCAGAGGTGATGTCATCGCTAGCTCCGCCTATCTGTTTACATTTGGCTGGCATCTGTCAAACTTTCATTCGGCGGCAGCAGTTGGTCGGGTACGGGCAGATTGTGGACAACGCTGGACGTCGTGATTGACTTTTGGATTACTTCAGTGGATTATTTGTTTTAATTTTTGGAGGTTTTATTTTTTTATTAAAGGACTTGTCAAAAAATTTTGTTATGTTTTTTTTTTTTTCAATAAAAGGATTTTTTCCTAAAGTGTGGGCTCTTTATTCACTTTTTACTTTAACCTTTAGTGAATGAGTAGGGGTACAAGTACACCTACTCATTCACAAGGGGGGGGCAGCATCTTGGTGCCCACTTTATTAAAGGGGGTAGCCCATTGCAAATAAACCACCCTGCCTGCAGACCCCCACAACCACCGGGTCAGGTGTGGCAGAAGAGGCCCTTGTCCTCAGCCGCATGGGGGCAAGGTGCTTTTCCATGAGCAAATGAGGACCCCTCATTTCCTGCCCTGCCAGGCCTGTGCTTGGATTAAGGGTCTGGTTGGGACCCCACATTTCCCCCACGTGTTTTTGTGGGTGGGGCTCCCCCTTAAAATTCCTAGCAGACCTAAAGGGCCTGGTATGACTTTTGAGGGGAACCCCTCACCCTTTTTTTTATTTTTTACTCGGGGGCGGGGGGGTCTCTCCTAACTTTCCTACCAGACCTAAAGGGTCTGGTATGGATCGGGAGAGGGACCCCGCACTGTTTTTTTTAAAATTTGTTTACATTTTGCAGGGAGAACTTACTGCTTGGCTTGTGTCTTCAGCTTAGCCAAGCCGAAGCATATGCGTATGGCTCGGCTGAGCTGTCCGGCTGCTGCTGCGGCCTGTATTTCTCATATTGCTTTCTACACGAAGCAATAAGAAGTTAAAGTCTCCCATTAAATGTACACTGGAAACAAATGTGGGTTTAAACTTAGGCACATGATAACTATTGCTTATTTAACTGACTGAATGTCAAAGACAATTCCATGTGGTTTTGCTAATGCAGTAGCTCAATAACCAAATTGTTGTATCTTGTACATTTTAAAATAATTGCTGGAGGTATGTAACTAGGATTTTAAGCGTTTTTTTTTTTTTTTTTACACTTCTTGCCTATATCTACTGGATGCTAGCAGTAGATATGGGCAAAAAAACCGGAGGGTTTAGAACCCCTTTAAATGAGATCATGCCATACATTCAACCTGTATTTGGTGTAACTGTTATGGTTCTATTACTTTCAATGTATATATGAAGTCTCTTGAACATTTGACTTTTTGATATTTTGTCTGGCCGTTGCCAGCTTGTCACTTATGACGTAGATTTATGTATGAATTGACTTCTTTGTCAATTGTGTTGTACATGCCTTGTGGAAATAAATAAAGAATTTAAAGGTGTGTATATATCAAATGAGGTATAACTACATATTTGATTGTAAACAGTACTCAACTATACTAAAAATTAACAGATTAAAAGAGTAAAAAACAAAACCTCATGTGGTTACTCAAAGAAAAGTTTAATTTCTAACCCAGGAAGTGTTACTAGCTTTATCAAATGGTAACCATGTTGATATGTTTCTGTGTTTGTTTCCTCTAGAAGATGCTCTGTTTTCCCACAGTCCAATGATACAGTGGGTAAGATAGTACTGAAGAATATATGGAGAAAACCTACACCACTCCACCCAATGCTTAGCATAAAGCCAAGTGAGTTGTCTTGGCCATGTGGAAACAGCTGTGATCCTGATGATGAGGTATATTGCCAATCCATATGTCAATAACATTCTACAATTAGGCTTTAATGGCTACAATTGTATAAATAGCGTTTGTTCTAGAATCATGATAGGTACTTGATTAAAGGCTGTATTCATTTGTATAGAGAACACTTTTTTCGAAGACACTGTGGAATAAAGTGAAATAGAAATCGAGTAATAACTATAATGAATATTGCAGACATTTACAAACTTCATTTCCCTTACCATGTTGACCTGGTAGACCAGGGATCCCCGAGATCCCTTTTTCACCATGGGCTCCTGGGAATCCAGGATCCCCCTGAGAACCAGGAACACCCAAAAGACCTGGTAAACCTGAAGAATAGAAATGACCATATAGACAACATCTAAGTAAAGGAATAATATAGTCAAACTGCATTATATATTGTCTTTAACATTGACAGATTTTGCTAAATGATAATTAGGTAATATTTCGCATTCTGAATGCTTCTTAAGACCAATTACACAGCAAAAGCCACAATGAGATACCTGTTTGGCCCTTTTGTCCTGGTTGACCAAAATCTCCTTTAATTCCTGCAATGCCAGGAGAACCTGCATTTCCAAGCAATCCTTTTTCTCCATGCCTTCCTCTTTGTCCTGCAATGCCAACCAAATGTTTAAATTATATTGGCAGTACAATATATGTACAGCGTGCTTTTCAAAATAATTTCCACTCTGAAAATACATAAATGCCAGATATTTTTTTTAATTGACACTGATTCATGAGCCCTTGTTTGTCTATGGGCCAGAAAGAACTGTCTGCATTACCCATCAACCAGTCAGAATGTCTGTTTTAAGTAGAGAAAGTGAGATTCTGATGGGTTGCTATGGGTAACAGAGATTTTCTTTCAGGCACATTGATAAATGAGACTGGCTGTGTTTGTCTGGAGTAAATGGTACAGGGAGGTACATACACTATGGGAGTAAAACAACTGGAATGCTAGGTTTTGCTTTCAAATATGTGTTTGGGAAAGCAAATTGCATTTGCTGAGAGGCCCATGTCTGGTTGATTTATATAAAGTAAGAAACCATACCTTCCAATGTGACCCCTTCCAATATGTAGAATTCCCTGTGATTTTGCCGTTGTCCTGTTTTTATTGCTATATCATCTGTATTGATCTGTAATTAGTGCTAGCAATGATTCCTTTACTGAAAATCTGGGTAACTCTGCAACTTTGAAATTCCCTGCACATATAGTTTTGTAGTAAAGGATGAGAGGTGCCAAGATCTTTTATTGTACGTGTTCAACAATTTCAGTAGGAATTCCATTCATGGTGCTTGATCACTTGGAAGAGGCTGCTGTACGACCTAAAAGGACCATAGACTGAAAGAGGGACCTTAGAGAAGTATCTTGAAGCAAACCGGAATGCACCACCAGACATAAAAGAGTTCAAAGTGTTTTTATTGATAAAAATACAACAGTGTCAAAATGAGAACACATTTCGAGGGTTCACACAATCGCTCTTCATCAAGGCTTGAAGTGTATTTAGGGGGTAAGGCACTTCACCTGCAATACCCTGCCTACGTGTGATTTGCGATAACTGTTTCCTCTTAATAGCCCTGAGTCAAGCTATCTCATAAGGGATTCCCCTCTAAATACACTAAAGCCCTGATAAAGGGGGATTGTGTAAAGCTCTGCAATGCATTGGATTTTTTGATGCTGCAGTATTTCTATCAATAAAAAACCTTTGGACTTTTCTGTCTGGTGGTGTCTCCATGTTGGCTTCAAGAATCAGTTTTGTGTCACCCTCATCCATTTAAATTTAAATATCTTAAAAACGTGTAGGCATACTCTAATCACCCCAAGCGCAACACCGAAACCGCAACAGCGGGCGACGTGTTTTTAGACACTGAGCTGGTGGAGAGATCACAAAGATCTCTCTGTGACCGGCTTAGTGATACAGAGCAAAGCAGCACTTGCCACTTACATTCCTCATATAACAGCTGCAGTCCTCGGTGCCCGGGAAGCTACGAGGGAGCGTGACTGTGCTTCCCATCCAATCAGGAAGCCAGGTGGGTGGTCACATGACCACATGCCAGGCTCCCTGCTTCATTACTGCACCCTGCTGGAAGAGGTAAAGGACAGTTAAAGAGATGGGAATCCGGGATGCCTCAGGTCTGTGTATGTATATACTGTGTGTATACTGTGTATATATATATAGGTATATATATACAGTATATAAATATATATGTATGTGTTTGTACTTTTGTGTGTAGAGCTAATAAAATAACCTAACCTTCCATATTTAAAATAAAAGTTATTTGGCAATCATAATAATACGTTTGTGCATATACTGGCAGTTTATCTGTAGATTCTTCTGTGAGTCTAATGATATATTTTACACTTGTTAATGCCCTGTCTTTGGTCTCATGCAGTCTTTTAACAAACAAGTACAACAAAGCAAATATATAAAAGATACATACCTGGAAATCCAGGGTCACCTATCACACCCTGGTTTCCTCTCTCTCCTGGTAAATCTATAGAGGCACCTTTTTCACCTGAATGCAGGAATGTACATAAATGTCATTATGTGTCTTTTTTTTTTGTCATACATGTATGTCACATATACCATGTTTACCTATATCTCCAAAATTTCCTTTGTCACCTGGAATTCCATAGAATCCAGGCATGCCCTTTGAACCCTGTAGGAGAAATTGGTGGTGAGTGTTGTCCACATTCAGGGAGCATTCAAACCACAATGTTATCAGCAGCCACACTACACACACTGAATTATTGTACAAGTAAACTATCTGATAAGCAACCAATATATAGGCAAGCTGTCAAAAGAACAACAAATATAGTGAAATTGTTTAACTAACACAACTCATTATCACACTGGTTGCACACTTCCTCAGACATATTGTTATTATCTATCCATGAAGGTTTTTAAGGCCTCATTCACACACAACGCAAGCAAAATAGTATATTGCGTATATACACGTCTATGCGAGTATATACGAGCGTATGTGCGTATATGCGTGCACTATTTGCATTCCCAGAATGCATAATTCCTAATAGAAGTTTTAATGAACTGCACGCGTATACGCACATACACGCGTATGCACGTAAAATACGCAGAAATATGCTGCCCGGACGCATCACGGTTCCATTCTGTTTTTGCGCATATATACGCTGCGCAAATATACGGCTCCATATGCGGCTATGTGTATGGAGCCATTTATTTGCATACGTTGCATATGGTACAATACGCACGTATTGGCAGTGTGAATGAGGCCTAAATGCAATATTTTCCAAGAAGGTGACAAACTTACTCTAGGACCTGTAAATCCGGGAAATCCACGAATGCCTGGAGGACCAGCTTGTCCTGGAGTACCGGGGAAACCAATAAACCCACTTTCTCCAGCATTTCCTTTGTCCCCTGGCTCAAAGCTTGGGATTCCGGGTGAACCAGGTTGCCCAGTTTTTCCACGGTGGCCAGGCATTCCTTTAACTCCTGAAAAAAGCAATTAATATAGCTTAATATGTGGTTTAATTTGCATTTTATATTAAACGTGCGGATGCTTCAAATAAATGACCATCAGAATGCAACAAGAAAACATAATAAAAAAAGTCAGTAACCTATCATTGTATATATGCAAGAATATTTAAAATACATTGCATTTCCTTGAAAAGATAGATGCCACCATTACTTATTTATTAATTGTAATCAAGTATAAGCAGTAGTTGCATTCTTTGTATAGTTATTTTCATAGTGTGGTTGTCCATCTTTCTCTAATGTACAAGATCCAAGGTCTCATTGAATTGTTGTTACTTAGAAATGTTCCTGTTTTTTTTAATTCATGAGAGATATGAAACATTCCCTTTTTTCTCTACTTGTCATTGTTATTTCTTTTTCTTCCCACTTCTATGTCTGGACTGCGCTAAAATGTCCTCTCTGCCTACACTTTTTTGTGTGTTTAAGCATGAAATGCATTGATTCCTCTGTCAATGGTATTTAAATCAGTCATTGTCTCCAGGAAAAATTTTTAGGATGCTGCTGCATCTACTTACCATATGCCTTCATACACCAGAATATGTTCCCTACTTGTGCTAAAATGATTGCCCACAGTGCTAAAGTAACTATGCTGATGTGAGTAGTTAAAGAACTCCAGGAAAAAAATGTATTAACTTTGCAGTGTGGGGGTAAAAAAAAGTGCTTGTTTGTGCCTAGCTGCTAAAAAAAAAGTTATACTCACCAGACAATCCGAGCCAGCTTGTCCTTAGATCAGTGTCTCGAGCGTCTCTCCCCCTCTGCTCCAGCGGTCTAAGGATCCTGGTGTCATCACGCTCTATACACTGTGCATAGAATGTGTATAGACGTGAGGATGCCAGGAGCATTCCATCTGTGCAGCAAGGAGGAGACATGCTTCAAGGATCACAGAAGCAGGGAGCCATCTCGGATGGTCTGGTGAGTATAACTTTTTTTGGCACCTAGACAAAAACGAGCACTTAACCCTTGCAGTGTGGGGGTGGCCCCATTGCAAGGGTTGATACTTTTTATTCTTTAAGGACATGGCACTCATTTTTCATTTTTGAAAAAAATTACATTAAATCACATTGTTTTCATCCCAAATGACTACACTGCAGTGTGTTTCCATATATCTATAATGATATCCTAGTTTAATAAATAATCTCTGAGACCTTTTTTAAAATGTTAGTAACTACTCTCCATGTTTTTTTTTTGCTAGTGCTTGAGATATACATTATGGGGGAATCACAATGTACAACAAATGAACTGCAACCAATGGTGTTTGCTCCAGCACCAAACATATGTGATATAACTGGAAGGGAAGTATTATATGCTTACCTCTCTTCCCTTGAACTCCAGGATCTCCTGGAATACCATGACCTCCTTTGTCTCCTTTTATCATTTGCTTTTCAATATCCGGTGGTGGTCCTGGTGGTCCATCCTCGCCTCGATCACCTTAATACATTCAATGTTAATTATTTACTTAAACTTTCCCTAAATAGAACTGATCGGAAAAAAAAAAAATCAACCCTCATTTTGGTAAATTATCAAACAATAAAATTAATAAGATTGTAACCCATACCAAAAATGTTCCCACATGGCTAGAGTTCCTTATGGTGTAAAACGTTTGCAATGCGGGAATTTCATGAGCAAAAGTGCTTACACTATATCACATGATGCATCAGAGGCAGAAGGGTAACTAAAAGTCAAAGGACTCTGGTGCAAATTTTGATCAAGTGACCTCATATCTCACACAAACATCTTTAACTGTTCTGCTAATTTGTTCATGAACAAGCCTTAGACATTACCCACTACAGCCTCAAACAGCAGATTACATAGAAAGGGATGAAAAATGAACGTGAGATGCAGCTTTATTCTCATACAAGGGTTACCTTATTATGGTTGCAAAGTAAGAATTCTGGAAACCTTTATAGCATGACGCTAATTGGTAGAAGTCTATGGTTGGAAATTGCTGCATGCAGCAAATGTCTCCTTACCAGTCAAGAGGTTGCAGAGAACAGATGATAATGATACTAAAGGTGACAAGTTAATCTCTTCTTCTATGTTAAGACTCACAGTATACTGTATAAAGGAAATAACAAAAGGAAACTTGGGCCACCATGTGAATTTTTCTGAGATTCAGTTTCAGGAATGAATCCTTTTAGGGTGACAGCAAGAGGGAGGAAATCTCCATTCCTGGGTCCATGGTTACGTGGTGACCAGCACCTGTTGATTGCACAGCCCTTATGGTAAGGGTGCTGGCAAGGGTTCAGGTCTCCACCTGGGAGACGGGGAAGGTTTCAGACCCGAGGGCTCCAGCCAGGAGTCAGAGTGGAGCCAGATGTGTATGCTTGCCATATGTGTTTCTTGGGGCAGCCAGTGAGCCTGGAAGAGGGCCACAGGGAGTCACTAAGGCTGAGGACAGGCATCATGAGTGCAGGTTAGCATGGTGTTAAGACTGTACGGAGGACATAGACAGAGGCCCGAGCACTGAGGCTGGAGTAGCAGGACACTGAAAGTAGAAGCCAGGAGGCTTCTACATTTTGTGTTTGTTTTGCAAGAAGTGCATGTGATGGTGGAGTTCAGGGTGCACTGATGAGAGCGAGGGGACATGAGAGAAGCATAGATTTGCAACCAGTTGTCACAAGGCTGCAGACGTCAGCTAACATGCTAAAATAATATGCTAGATCAGGTAAAGCCCTGTCATCTTACAGAAGTTCAAATACATTCTGTGAGCCCCATCCTCCTGCAAAAGGAAGCCTACGCTTAGGGCATAAAAAGGGCATCTTGAGTCAAAGTGCAACCGTGGAAAACTGTCTTACACTCTTTGAGAGTCAGGATTATGATAGTCACCATGAAGCAGTTATGTGTACATTCTGTATGTGTTATATATAGTATACAACTAATAAATATAGGATAGTAGAAGCAATATTTGGTCTCCATTGTCTCATGTGCAGGGATCCACTATGCTATATGGTATGATACTATGCTATTGATGGAGCTGATACAATTGATATCTATGATACCGCTTTGATATAAAGGATTTCACTGCCTCCTGAAAGAACAATAAGCATGTGGCTTGGTGATAAGGCCATTAAATAACATAGAGCTCTTGGAGACGTGACACTAAAGGATGAATGGATGCCTGAGGGTTGTCATCCCTTGAGACAGTCCACCTCCCTGGTATTTACTGCCCACACTTGTTTTGTATGGCAGCATAGGTGCTGGGAGCTTCCTGTGTATACATCTACACCATATGTGCCAAACTCAAGGCCCAGGGGCCAAATCCGGCCCACCAGGCCATTTCCTAGACTTCTACTTTCAGATCTAGGTATTAAGTTATTACTAAAACCAGTGATAATCGAATGCAGAGGCAATTATGATAAAGATTAGATACATTTATATAGTCTTACAGATACCTTTGAGGGCAACCATAATGTTGATGCGGCCCACGATTAAATTGAGTTTGACACCCCTGACCTACACAATCTCACAAGCTGGAACAGTGGTAACCTTCCATGACTTTTTGAACAAGTCTTTCTGGACAATCTGGAATATGATGCACTAATACCTACTTGTTGCGAGTGTAACAAGGAGTGAGAAAAAGGCCCTGGCATGTGTAAATGAGTGTGAGAATGATAAATGCTAGCTGAATGATCTTAACAGTTGTTCGTCATTAAATCAAGGCACCCCAAACAGAGCACATTCTACAGCTATACTATACTATTCCATACCATGTAACCCTATTTAAAGTAAATTAAGTGATCCTGAACCTGTAAGAATGACTGTAATATGGCTTCAATGAATTCATATTATTATACAGGATTTATATAGCGCCAACAGTTTGCGCAGCGCTTTACAATATAAGGAAGACATTACAATCACAATACAATTGTGACAAGATGGTAAGGAGGGCCCTGCCCATGAGGGCTTACAATCTAAAAGGGAGGGGCAAGTGATACATGAGAAGGTAGCTGTGTGGGGATGAATTGTTTGAGAAAGTTATAGTTCAATTGAAGCCTTAGTTCGTTGTATTTGTTATGTTTGTGAATTCTAAGTAAAGTGGATTTATACCTACAAAATGTATACTTCATAAATACTGGAAAAATATATAATATTTACAGATTGAAGTGACACTAAACTCAGGAGTTAAATCTTAAAAATGCATACCATACCATAGCTTATTTGTGTATCACTCAGCTGTAGATCTTCAAATCATCTCTGTATTAGTGCCGGCACTGTTCTTCCTTCTGGAGGGTGGCTACTTTTGTTCCCCATGGTCCATGTGTGTGTTGTAAAGTAGCCACCGCCCCAAGTTCACTCCCATGATGGGCTGTAAAGTAGCCACTGATCCAAGCTCATTCCTGTGATGGACTACAATCTCATGTTTAGTTTATTAATTTGTATTGAAGTTCTACTTTATCACAGGAGTGAGCTTGGAGTGGTGGCTACTTTTTGAACACACACAGGGAGCATGGGAAACAAAAGTAGCCACCCTCCAGAAGGAAGGACAGTGTCAGCACCAATTCAGAGATGATTTGAGGATCTACAGCCGAGTGATACACAAATAAGTTACATTTTGTTTTATAGTTATGGTACTTGAATGCATTTTTAAGATTGAACTAGTTTAGTGTCACTTTAATAGGATCAAATCCAACAGCCAATAAGAAATTTGTATATGCTAATTTTATGTGAATTTATTTAATGTGAATTTAGTAGAAATAAAAACAAGGTTCCAGGAATAGGCATATACACTGTAGAACGCTATTTCTGGGGATTACACATGGGGACAAGTAGAACTATGTTTTGGACAGATTTTGATAGTCAGAAGGGTATAAAAGCAGGTAACAGTCACACAACACATTACTGCTTAATATAGTTATAATAAACTGGTTGTGAGCTGCTGTATCACTGTAGTAATGAAGTGTTTTCAATTCATCTTAGTGGATTACAAGATAAAACAAACCAAAGTTATATAAGCATATGCTTAATCGTTATAGAATGGTACCTTTGTGGCCTATTGCTCCTGGAATTCCTCTTTCTCCTGGTAAGCCAAAATTCCCAAACTGACCCTTTAAACCGCTTGAGGCAGGCTGTCCTTTCTCACCCTTCATTCCTTGGAAACCTCCCATTCCAGTAGAACCTTTCACACCTGTTTAAATTGTAATTAAAAAATGTCAATTAAAATGCTCATGAAGCAGTCACGTAAAGCTTAGAGGAGGGGGTAATCTCGAGTCACAGTGAAACAGCATACAAATATAAGAGGACAACCAAACAAAGGAAGCTAGGTCCCACACTCACCACATCTATGGATCCAGTTGTACTCCAAAAAACATGTAAAATCATCATGTCATCCTACAGATGTGCCATGCGTCAGTTTTGTGTAATCTCAAGAAATACATTTTACCTGCAATGGCTGTAAAATGACATGGTGTTTCTGCAGTGTTGTTTTCTTCTTTTTATTTTGCTTACTTCAAATAAGGACCTTAATAAGGTCTGAGCACTGTGGTGGTTATACATCTGCATGGCCAAAGGGAACAAGCCTATAAGAATAAGGTGTTCCCTATATAAAGCAGATCTAATCCTGAGTATGAAATAATGTTTTGGCTAGTAAGCTCATAGTGAGCAAGATTGTTAGAGAATCACAAGTGGGAGCTCCATGATATGTGTCTGTTCACATGCCATACATGGCCATGCCCCCAAAGTAGAACAAAAATAAAAAGATTGCATTTAGTTTGTGAAATAAGCCAATGGCACATTTTTTCCCATAAAATACAATTTTTATCTTTTTTCATCTTGGTGCTGTTGAACTCTTTTCCAGCCACATACTGTCTACATGCATGTGCTTCAGCATCATCTTACATCATTATTCTGAACCAGCTAACTTATAGTGATAATGGTGGACCATGCCTGCACAATATGTGGCAGTCCTACAGCTGTAACCAAAGGTGCATATGACATGCTGACAATGCAGGATTACTATAGTGAGAGGGCTGTCACCCAATAACAGGAACTACCTAAAGAAGAACCTTCATGGCAAAATCACCAGATATTATTGAATGAAAGATCAGACTACAAAAGATTAAAAAGACTTTTCAAATGACATTAACATGTTAAAGCTTATATGAGATTTTAGTGAGCAGAGTGTATAGCTCTCTCTCTTTCTGTTTATTGGGCATTAACACATTAATACATATGTATATATAGCAAAATATCCTACATTGTAGCTTAAGAACAAGAATAATGGGCACTAAAACATATAGAAAGTTTATTATGTGTATTATAATTTATAATCCCAAACTTTACACTACATATACCCATTTAAAAAACTACAATTTGACTTATTTATTTATTCAGTGTACACTTTTTAAACAGATGTTTTACACCTCCCTTTCACTGTGAATAAAATATTTGGTTAAAAATAAACATTTACTATAAAGTATACCCATGACACAGGATTTACAGAACATTATAGTTTTTCTAAAGAGGGAGCACAGCAGAAGCTGTTTTTCTTTAGTACCTCTCTGAATGCAAGTCTATTGGAAGCTGTCTGTGCAGAGTAGACCTTGGAGGGAGGAAGGAGGAGTCACTCCTCTGACACATTTAGTTATGCGTGTGAATTTCTCATTGAGATAACGAGCTCTGCAAACAGCAAGCATTTTTACAACATAGCAGCTATGAATAGATAGATAAACATATAAAAGAAACCTAGAGCTCCACCTTCTGACAATAACTGCAAGTATTAAATGCTAGTATGCAAAACTTCACAAATACCAGGCTATAAAAATGTTTTACCAATAAAATATATGCAAAACACTTTACAACTGAATCTTGCTTGGATTATTTTCAATAATTTGACCCAGTTTTGCTTGCCCTAACATTTCTATGATCAAATACTATAGGAAGTTAGGTTTTACCTACCCTTTACACCAGGGTGGCCATCCATACCAGTCAACCCCGGGAAGCCTGGATCTCCAATTCTTCCTCTTATGCCAGGAATTCCCAGTCCTCCCCCATCTCCATCTTCACCCTTTTTCCAAGCTTGTCCTGGGGTCCCTTGTTCTCCTTCATCGCCTCGTGGTCCAGAAGAACCTGTGTTTAAAAAAATAAAGACATGAATAATAGTAAGTAACATATAAACAAAGTCCTTATTTATACAAAATTTGGGATATACGTTATCATTTTGTCTATGCTTGGTCACATCACTTCTTCTTGTAGAGATGTTTTCACAGATGGATATCATAGCTAATGGTGTGTTCTCATTTGCCACAGTTTTTTTTCCAAAGGTATTTTTATGCCAAACATTTTTTTTTTTTTAGTGTTGGATAGAGTAGGGGATGATTATTTATTATTTATATAGCACCAACAATTTTATACTGCGCTTTACATAGCGCACATTCACATCAGTCCCTGCCCTCAAGGAGCTTACAATCTAAGGTCCCTATCTCACATGCATACAGGGCCAATTTTAGACAGGAGACAATTAACCTTCCAGCATGTCTTTGGAGTGTGGGAGGAAACCGGAGTACCAGAAACTCCTGCAAGCACAGGGAGAATATGCATTAGATGTCCTGTCTTTTTTTTTTTTTACTGTCTGTAGCATAGAGATGTTTCCTTGTTTCCTGTTCTTGTGATAACGTTATATATTGTTATAGCAGTACATACATTTGCTATGTAATGATGTTAAACTGTTATTATAAGGGGTCGCAAATATGGTTAATTTTGTATTAGTAGTAAGAGAAGAAGCAAGTTAGAGTAAACTAAACACCATGGAGCATCGCCTTGTGCATTTGCCATCTGCTGGTCAGTGCTTAGAACTGCAGGTCAAGTCTCTGAAGTACACACCTGCTCTAATCAAGAAAGTGCTTACAATACTAGACATTCAGACATTACTGTGCATGATCAACAGGTTAGTGTGTTTTAATATGCCCTGGATTTATATAGATCTGTCTGATTCTGACTTCTGTCTGACTATTCATGCATTGGACTATTCCTGTGAATTGTTTAAACTGCATTCGTACTCATCTTGTCTGTTCTAATCCTAATCGCTGACCTCTTATCTCTGTTATTATCACTCTGTTACCTAGATTTTGTCTAAGATCTGTTTGTCTGCACCTGTTCTGACTATCAGTCCACTGACTTTGCTACTGTCTGTTATTTCTCTGCCTGCCAGTGTATTTATACCACTCTACTGTCTGTTCTGCCTGTCACCTAGCTATCGGCCCTGATGACAAAGAGGGTCCACTGAACTCCGTGACAATCTGTAGTGTTTTCTATTGCATTAAATAACAGGTATCTAAATGCTCACAGTGTTCTCACACAGTGCTCAGATTTTTTACATGCTGTGTGATCACAAAGGGCAAGGGCGGAGGCAGACCACAATGCAAATGTATCATCCAAGCAGCGTTTTTTGAAGTAGTACAACATAATTGCTTATATATATATATAAAAATATTTTTTTACACTGCATTGCCACCTCCTAGAATTCAGATTTGTACAATGGCAGAAAGATATTTAAAAACCTCTAAAAGTGGTCTACAGCATTAGATGTTTTATGGGATGGCCAGCAGTCACATGTTCACAAGAATGTCGAAAATAGAGCATTTCACTCTTACCTGGAAGTCCAGGAAGACCCACTGCTCCTGGCTTCCCTGGTTTCCCTTTCATTCCTGGAAACCCACCATTCCCTGATGGGCCTGGTAACCCAGAAGTACCAGAAATTCCAGCATCACCAGGAATACCTTTTAGCCCTGGAGTCCCAGGGTTTCCATTGATACCTAAGAGAAAAAAATAGGTATATAAAAGAATAACAATTGTTGCTGAGTAATGTTTCCTGAAATGTAATATGAGCAAAATAGTGGATTTTATTTAGGGTATTTTTGATATTGAATATCTTGTCTTTTTTATGCTGTAGTGTTAGTGTTTTATTTGGGAAAAACACTACCGAAAGTAGTGGTACGTACCTTGAATTCCAGGTAAGCCTGTGTCACCTTGTATGCCTTTCAGACCTTTCAGACCAGGAAATCCAACATCACCAGGGGATCCAGGCGGAGCTCCCAACACATCACCGGGGCTACCTTTTGTACCTTGAAATCCCTGTGCACCTGTCTTCCCTGATGGGCCACGTTCTCCTAGTAGACCTGGTCCTCCAGGCTTACCACGATCTCCTCTTCGACCTGGGAATCCTGAAAACAAGAAGGTGTAGCTATGTAAATGCAGAAAGAAACATATCTGAACAATTCATGTACTGAATTCAGTTGTACAATTCTAACAAATATATTAGTTGCACCTAATAAGTTAGGTCTTTGTTTAAAGCTGTGCTACAGGCAATCATCTAACATAACAAAATTCCACATGTTGGGACTGTTTTACCTGCCAAATGATTTGTAATTCTTTTCAGTCAGATCTGAGCACCCCTAATAGACATGACATAGGATTTGTCAATTCTGTCACTTTTCTTATTTCCATTAAAGAAAACACGGACTGAGCAACATGGGTTTTAATGACCAAAGCAGCCCTTTATTTTAAACAAATAACAATTTAAATTTTTACCGATCATAATAACCCTAAATTAAAAAAAAAAAACAATATTCACCTAACAACTGTTGTTACTATAGGGGGCTTTTGGAGTTCGTTAGCCCAACTAAGGCTATTGTAACTCCACCCCATTTCCCCAGCTGCACCCACACCGACTTTCATATTGTATTTTGACCCCCAAAGACCCCCTAACCCACCAAGCCGCTGTGACAAAATTAGAAAATGCCACAACCACCTGCACTGACAATAAGGGAGGGCAGGTGGGACAACATGCTTGCTTTGTCAACTTTCCAGATATAACTCCTAGCAACCCTTGCAGCCCCTTCCCATGCGGCTCGTCCCAGCCACCTGACCTTCTCCCCCAACCGGGTAAGCCCTCTAATTATTCATAATCTTTAACCCTTTTCCAGGGGAGGATTACTCCCCACAGTCAGGTACCCCTTCCACTTAATATCTTTGGGTCTGTCTGTACAGGCAAGTTTATGACCTCCCAGACAGCTACTGATTAATTGTGCCATGATATAAATATGTTGGCCCCCCAACATTTATCTCCTTCAGAAAATACTAGTTGTCTATCATACTTGTCCTCTAACTTTAGTGCTGATATTCTATCCCCAGACAAAAGTTATGATCAGGAGTTACTCCAACTTCAATTGTTGCCTGCTTGTTTTAGCTCAGTGACTTACAATGTTTTGAAGCCAAAGACAGCTAGACAATTATCATTTTCAGAAATAGGGGTCAGCAATGGCAGCACATGGCATATGCACTTTAAAAGGACTCTGTCAGGACACTGATATGAATGACTATCCACCTAATCCTTCCTTTGCTACTTGGGGAGCCAGAAGCCTGGAAAAAGGATGTGTATAGCAGCTGTCAGGACACCTAAAGTGCACACACTTGTTGCAGGTCGCTGACCTGGTAAAACCATATTCATTTTAATTACCCCAAAGCATGTTTTTTTCAAAGTTGGCAAAGGAAGTTTCCACATTTCTATCTAGATAACTCCTTTTTATGTATTTATATTGTATTTGCTTGTCAAAAAACACCACTAAAGGGTGTTTCCTAAAGCAGCCTGGAAGTATTGAGCAAATGGATACGAATTCTGTTATCTCTACTTTGCAAGAAGACTGGCAATAATGACTGGTATAAGACTGCTATAAACTATACCAGTATAATAAAACTGTTAGTAACTTACAGGAATAACAGTGAAATATATAACAAGGTAAATAGTGGTTGGCTTATGACTGAACAAAAATGACTAGACATAGGAAAAATGTCTGTATTATACATTGCTTTTCAAAGTAAATGAGATCTTTGAGTAAGTGAATAAACAATTACCTTGTGGACCAGGCAAGCTGTCAAGACCAGGGTCACCGATGACTCCTTTAAATCCTGGCAATCCATCGGCACCTGGTTGGCCCGCCTGACCTTTTAGACCCTTTAAACCTAAAGTGTGAGAAACACAAAAGGAATTTAAGATAACAGGGTTTATTTTCTGAAGGATTAAAGAATGCTCACTTAGATAGCAAAACTGTGTACACAGATCAAGTGCAAGATAAAATCCTGTTTTATTTTAATTTTCCAGCACATAAATGATTAATAAAAGCGAACATAGCTTCACTTTCTTAAATAGCCATTCCTAAAGTTTTTTTTATTTCTTCAGCAAACTATTTCCTGAATGGGAACATTAGTATTTAAGGCTAAAACTTTTTTGTGGCCAGTAAAAAATTGCTGTCAGGTATAAAGTTAAAGCACCTAAAGGTTCCTGCACATACCTGCATCAACCCCAAACACCCTACAGCTACAGCCGAATCCCAGGTTGTTCTGGCACTTGCTTGCCTCTTCCTGCCTCATGTACATTTCTTCCAGCCATTGATGTATAACATCATAATGATGGACCAATGGTAACAGGAAGGATGAAGGATGGAGCAGTGAGCTTTGACATTTTGATCATTGTTGATCAGAATGACCCAGAATTTAACCATGGCAGCAGGATTTAGAGGTTGCTGTAGGTCCTTGGTTCTCAACTGGTGGGTCGTGACCCAAAAGTGGGTCGCGACCCCATGTTCAGTGGGTCGCTGCATGCCTTCCACTTTTCTAGGTGAGAGGCTCCTCAGCCTCCCCCTAGCGCAGCGCTGTCCATTCTTACACCAAGCAGCCATTTAAAATATGCTGCCTGGCACCGAGTGCCGACTTGGGGTGGGCTGAGGGTATGGCAGCGAGGGAGCTCCATCCATACGTGCATTGCTTACAGCTCCCTCGCATGTCCGGTAGAGGTGCCTGGACTGGAGTGACATCATGTTCTGGCTCCCAACACCTCTACAGGCACACAAGGGAGCTGTACAAGCGACGCACATATGGATGGAGCTCCGTCACAGCACAGCAGCCCACACTGTCGAGCATTCCATTGCAGTGACTTGGGTCACGACTTAATGACTGAGGACAAATGTGGGTCCTGAGGTAACACAGGTTGGGAACCACTGCTGTAGGTAATATGCACCTCTAAGTGCCTTAGATTTATATTTTTTTTTTACATAGAATACATATTTGTATGAATTTCAGCACATGAGCAATCTATAAGCAAGAACACACAGGGGCATTCTGAACCTAGCCACCTTGCTGAGAAGGGTCATACTCTCAGTCAGCTGAGATTCCAGGTACTGGTACATGTCCCATTATCCAAGAGGGATGGAGATTGAATTTTGAAGCAGACAAAATGAGTATCATAGATACACTTTCAAACTGTATCTCCAAAGAGATTAAATTGTGATCACAATACATGTCTTTTTGTATAAATGCAATACTCTAGGTTTTGATTTAAACTAACTTTTGTTTTATGATTCAAAATAAATCTTTTTAAGGAGAAAGAATGACGAGGCGATAGTTACCGTGTATCCTTGGACAAATTGCTAGAAAGTAGTCACTGATTCTGCTACGTTGGTTTGATCATCTAATTACTTTTGTAACATATTTTTGAGACTTTTTACTTTGTAATTACTTGCACTTGATCAAGGCCAAGGAATATGTCTGAAAGCTTGTGTATATACTGAAGCAATATAAATGTGTTCTACGGTGTTAATATGTATGTGTGTGTGTGTGTGTGTGTGTGTGTGTGTATACATACACACACACACACACATATATATAATATTCCCATACATATAATATTCTATATCATGCAGTAAAACATTCCTACCGTTAAATCCTGGCAATCCCGGAGCACCTCGGGCTCCTGCTGGAGCTGGTGGTGGGGTTAATGTGCACCCACGGCCCGGATGAATAGCTGTAAAGATATTTCTAAGTGATCTTTGTGGTCGAAAATATGATAAAATAAGATTCTGCAGATGTTGATAACTTTGCAGTCAATACACTCAGTAACATATTAATTGGAAGTCAACATTATGTTTTACTATGATATATCGTATCTTTTCATACATTCTTTTCTTATATAATTATTAAATGTTAGTATTCTCCTAATTACTGAAGCCTTTATAGATTTTTGTTCAAAGAGAAGTAAAGCTGAATCTTTTTTTGGCTTTACTTCTCTTTTGGGCCACAGGAGTACATTTACTAATGTAGTCCTGTGACCTAAAGTCAGCAGATAGTGGGCTACTGCCTGCTATATGCTGACAGTGCAGAGCCATGCTGTAGCCCAGAAGGATTCCGACAATATTGGGACAGCTGCAGTGTCATTAAATATTGGGAAGAGTATATTTTGCTCTCCCAATACTTCTACAGATGTGTATTAAAAGGGCACAATATCATATACCATACACAGACATCAGACTTATGATTATATAACTGGATAATGCAATGTTCTTTATGTAAACACCATCATGTCTAAAGGATTTTGCACCAAGTTTAATCTTGTGTTTATTCAGCAAAGTTTTACTTGCTTGTAGCTCTGTATCTTTCAGTGTGTGAAGCTCATTGCACATAGGTAGCAATAGAAACTACTATAATCAAAGCTGTAAACATCCTAATATATTCAATACTAGCAATGCTTACAGTCTTGTGATAAAAGGAGAACTGTGTAGACTATAGAAGCATTGTGGTAGATAAAGGTTGGTGAGCTTAATACATTTACAATCTTTTTTAAGGTAATTGCAGCATTTTAGCATGGGGGAGCTTGGTAAATATGCTGTCCTTGCTTGAAGTGCAATGCCCGCTTTAACATTACAAAGGTAAGGTACCATTTGAGGTAATATTTTTAAACACTGAGGGCTGCAAAGTAGGAGAGACAGGGCTGCATGTGGCCAGAAAGCACCAGTTTGACACACATGGGGTAGACCCTCTATCGGAGTTTGTCGATATCTCTTCTGAGATCTCCTCACTTTTACTAGTTCACTGTTATCATTACTAATGATAATTTGAGGAACTTAAACACTGAGGGCTGCAAAGTAGGAGACAGGACCGTATGTGCCCAGAAAACACCAGGTTGACTCTGTCAGAATTTTGTCGCTATCTCCTCTGAGATAATATCTCCTCACTTCTACTGGTTCACTGTCGTATCATTCTTCACTTACTGATATGAGGGATATTTATTTGAAGCTTCTTTTTAGACATGCTTCTAAGATCAGGAATGACTGTACACACACAGGGTATTTTTGGTTTGTTCCGCTTACGTCTGGTAGGTTACGAACAATTTGAGCACAAACAGGCTGGGGAATAGTTTTTTTTTTCCTGCATGGGGAGGATAGGCTATTGAATTATGAAGGGCCCATTTACATGTTTAATGGGGGATTAATTGTGATTTATTTTGTGTAATTTGCCAGGGTTTTATTTTGGTACAGATTTTTAAATACTGTTATAGAAATCTTAATCCTTGGAGTTGGTTGATGTTAAACTAAGTTTTTCTGTGTCTTGTATGCAATTATAACAAAGTATCTTATCTTATTCAGTATTTTCAATAAGTCTTGACCTTACTGTATTTCTGAATAACATTCTTTTACTTCCCTGCTATACTGAGCCATTGAAATGCCAACTAACTCTCCAATATAGAGCTGCAGTTTTTATGATATCTTGTAAGTCGAACCAGACTGTAACTCCTTTGTCAAATCAGTAAATCAAACATGAACACTGATGTGATATGCTGCACTGCTACATGTATTATTAATATTTCATAACTACCTTGCTTGAGGTGTTAAGTAACTGATTAGCTCTTTGGTGAATGGGTATTCATATTACAACATGTGAAAGGATTATCTTACGTCTTTGGCCTGCTTCATTGTCTTCTCCGGGTTCCTTAAAGCAGTCGCCTGTAATAGAAAAATGGAAATATCTTTGTGAAGCAACAAAGTCGGTGAAAAACACCCAAATGAGATATGAGAAGCTATTATTATAAAATATCTTGTTTTACCCTAGTACATGAAAATATGTTTCTAATTACATTTTAATTCAATAAATCTAGATGCTGATTATGAGCTATGCCTTTAATACATGTTTAATACACTACTAAGAATTGTACTGACAGAAATATGGAAGCTGCCCTACTTCTGAAAGTGCTAAGTGGCTGGGTATCCCTAGTGTCTGTACTTTCTGATGGTTCAGGTCTGCGGTTCAGAAAGTATTAAGGCCATTGGATCAGCATGATAGCCAGGGAACTAGCATTTTCAGAAAGATTAGTCAGAAATAGTCAGAAATATTTCCTCAGCAAAGGTTTTCAGGCCCGTTCACACTACCTGAAATGCTATGTTTTAGCGGGTGGGCTAGTGGGATGTGGCCGCTTTGACAGTGTGTGTGTGGGCCACCTTTTGCCACCTTTTGCCTTCAATACTGCGGTGATTCTTCTTGGCATTGACTCCACGAGATGTTGAAAGGTGATGCAAGGAATCTGACACCATGCCTGATGAAAGCACTGTCCAGTTCTGTGAGATTTGATGGTTGTGGAACCAGCTGCCTGATGGCTCTTTCAACTTCGTCCCACAAATGCTCAACTGGATTGAGATCTGGTGATTGTGGGAGCCACCTAAGCAAGGTAAATTCTCCATCATGTCCTTGAAACCACTCCTGCACAATACGAGCACCGTGGCAGGGCGCATTGTCTTGTTGGAAGAAGCCATCTCCATTGGGATACGCCATCAACATGATAGGATGAACTTGATCAGCAATGATACACTATGTTGTGCTATTCAGATGTTGTTCCACACGAATTAAAGGGCCCAAATCATGCCAGGAAAACATGCCCCAAACCATAGCACTGCCCCCACCAGCTTGAAGGGTTGTACTCATGCATGTGGGGTGCATGCTTTCATGCTGTTCCCTGCCAAATTCTCACTCTGCCATCTGCATGACAACTGGAAACGTGATTCATCGGACCACATGACTTTTTTCCAATGCTCGACTGTCCAATCCTTGTGTTCCTGTGCGAATTGGAGACGTTTTATCTTGTTAACTGCAGACAGCAAAGGTGTTCGAACAGGCCTTCGACTTCCATATCCCATATGATGCAGTGTACGGCGAACACTGCGTTCAGAGATCATTTGAGAGGATCCCTGATTAAGATCTGCAGTAATTTGATGCACTGTTGCCCTTCTGTTGTCTTGTACCAGTCTTGCCACTCTCAGTTCTGCCCTAACATTGACTAGTCGCTGACGGCCACAATTCGCACGTTCAGACACAGATTTTCGGCTGACAGTCCAGTCTTTAAACACTTTAACAACAGCTGCTCTTGAATATTTAACGGATTCTGCTGTTTTGCTGATACTCGCTCCATGGCTCCGAGCGCCAACAATCATCCCACGTTCAAAGGCTGTTAAATCGCGTTGTTTACCCATACCTTCAGAAAAAAATAACTTCTACTGTCATGGTAAACAACCTGCTTCCCTGTTTATGATGGTCTGGCCCTCTAGCAACTTCAGCACAAAATTATAGCTAATTTGCCTACAAACGTCAGGTGCTCATAATAATCTGGCCACTCAGTGTATGTGTGAACAGGCCCTTACTTACAATTGTGCATTGATATTGAAAATATTTCTGATCATGCCAAAAACTGTCTTTTATTTAAGGATAGTGATCATATGAAGCCATTTATTATCACATGGTTCTTTGGCTCATTTTTGAATCATAATGATAACAGACCAAATGATGCACACTACTGCATTACCACTTGTTTCCAGCAGATGGTGTGATGCAGACAAGTTCACAAAGCATTCATGTGCATTTGACACTTGAAGACCCTTGTCAGGCCTACTTTAACTTTACACTGCTTGCTAATTACCTGTTGTACATGGGGAGTGAAAGAGTTTCTTTTTGTTTAACTGATTTGTATCCAAAATTAATAAATACAAAGATAGACACTGCAATACAACGAAGAAAGAATCTAGTAATTGAGTGTTTGTAAATGTGTGGAAAAGACTGCAGCACTGAGCAGTGAGTTTACAAAATAGTAGCATATTGTAACAGCATTCTAAGAGGCAAATAAATGTGTGCATTCTTGGGCGCTCTTTGATATATGCATATTACAGAACCAAGGTTTTGCAGCTGGACTGATGTGCAGATACTGGGAGATTTCTTCTTTATTATGGAGCTGGAAGCTAATTAAGCATAACTGGACGACAGATATGCTTGAAGCTGTCCTTAGACAAGATCAGGCTTGATGGATAAATTGTGTAGCATTGACATTTAGGCACCTTAATTGATATCAAAGAACTTTTAAAAATTGAAGGCAGATCAGGTTAGTCAAGAGTGTACCTGGAGTGACATATGTGTCAAGGATACCCTCCAGTGGCGTAACAATAGCCATAGCGGCCCATGCGGCTGCTATGGGGCCTGGGGGTGGAAGGGGACCCCAATAAGGATTGCAGAAGTTGCTACTGACATTATTAATCAAGAAGACCTGACATCAGATGTACAGGGGGGGACTATGCAGGCAGCTCTCCTGCTACCTGACTTTAATATCATTGACAGTAGGGAGGTTGCGGGGGGACCCCATCAAAATTTTGCTATGTGGCCCCATGATCTGCGGTTACGCCCCTGGTGCCCTCCACTTCTCTTTGCTCAGCTGTCCATTTTATGTTAGCCTCCCTTAGGTTATATACTGTCTCCTGCACTTTTGCCACAAATATTTTACAATAAAAAGGTTACACATAAGTGCAGCTTCAGCAAATGCATAAACCTAGAATTTTGGACATATAGTTCTTACCTGGTAAACCTTGAAGTCCTGGAATTCCTGGTGATCCATTTCGTCCTGGCTCTCCAGTAGCCCCACGTACACCCTGTGGCCCTGGGAATCCTAAACCTGGTAGCCCAGGCTCACCTCGAACTCCTTCGCGGCCTGGAGGGCCTGGAAATCCAACGTCGCCAATTAATCCTTTTGCAGCATCACCCTGTAACAAAAATAGCTTATGTCAGATTAATCTTGCTGCACACAGAAATGTATCTTACGCCCTTCATGGTTTATGGTTAATTCATATCTCCTTGACTACAGCAGATTTTGCAATTTTGCAGTGTAGATTCGACTACTACTAACTTTTTTTTTTTTTTTTACTGACGACAGGTTTGTCTTTCTGTTGAAAACCTACCAAACATTTAAGTTTATTATTCAGACAAATACTGAATAAAATGTGATAAATATAAAATTTCTCCCTTTTCAGAAGATTTGCAAACATTTTTGCTGCTCAAATACAGCACAAACACATTATACTGTACATCCCTATGGAAGGGATACCAAATATGTGTATGATATACACATTTTCTGTTTAGTATTTGGCCTCACAATATTTCTATTTGCAAAGCATATTTACATGCTCAGAAAGGATCTATGCTGCAAAGTAATTGTGAATACCCTTCATTTACAGTAGCAGGCAACCAAAAGCTTTCATGTATTGTTTAAATGAATGTACCAACTACACTATATTTTTATGGTAAATGTATATTCAAAATAAGATGAATATTTACAAACACTTTAGGACCTGCAAAACCCCTACTATTTACATCCGAAGACTATAGTGATTCAATGTAAACATCATTCTCATGTATTGAGCATTACTCAGCACACAAACCAATACATCCCAGACAGCTACTACTATTAATTAAAATAAATCCCTAATAAAAACACCATGTCTGCCACTACCCCAACAGGGACAAAGGTAAAAAGCTTGAGAGTACACAATGCAATTATTTGCAGTAGACAGGTAACCAACCAAAAAATGATTATGATTCCCTATTTATGCCCACCTGACAAACATTGCACTGAAATATTTATCAGTGCAGTGTTCCTTGGTATAGTCATATACTGTTTTATATATGGGGGATACATCCCCATCCTCCCTCAATAAGATACTAGATGTTATATCTGTACTGTCAACTTAATAAATATCCAGGACTATTCAGAGCCAATCAAAACTGGCTCCTATATTTTAGAAAATTAGACAATCAGTGAGATAGATTCTGGTGAATGTCCATAACAATATCAGCTGCAACAAATGGTAAACACAATTCAATATACAAAGCCTCATCTCCAAACGGTAAAGATAATGTAACATTAAGATGACCTTCTCTGATTTACAAAGTTCAAAAATTCAATGCTAGACATCTAGCATTATACTGCAAGCTTATAAAGTTGAAAAACTACTATTAATAGGATGCAGGATAAGGTTCATAAGTTGCGGTTGTCCTCGTTCCTTCCGTACTAAATGTTACTTCTGAACATATAAATTTAAATATGTTTAGAAGGCCAATACTGCAGGTGTCACTCTTTGAGGGTTGAACTATAAAAGTTGCTGCACAGTAGTTGAGCCAATCACTCGGTATATCAGGATTTCCTGCTACAGGTGAAAGAATCAATTATATAGTGCTTTTCCCATACACTTTGCTACTCCATATGTGTAAAGTTTCACGATGTCACCACTAGTCATACATCCACATAAGTCTTTTCCAATGTTACAAGGATCAATAATTGTATCCAGCAAGATCGTTCACAGGTGTTCATATATAAAATCAACCAGGTAGATGTACCATAAATTGAGGATCACTTAGTTCCCAGTTAAGATATTTTTTTTTTATGAGTGCTGCAATAATGATGTTTTCCAAAAAGTATCCATACAGTTTCTGTGTTGTACTGCACTTAATACAGTGCCACCTAGTGGTTACAGCTCATCAGGTGAAATAGAGGATACACAGAGCATTAAAGATCTCCAGGAAACAAAATTATAAACCCTTGCAGTAGGGCTACCCTAGCACTGCAAGGGTTAAGTGCTCACCAGATCATCCGAGCTGGCTTGTTCTTAGACCAGTGCCTAGAATGACTCTCCTCTGCTGCAGTGGTCTAAGGATCCTGGTGTCATCACACTCTATACGCTGTGCATAGACTGTGTATAGATGTGAGCACTCCAAGGAGCAGTCCATCTGTGCAGTGGAGGAGGAGACACGCTTCAGTGATCACAGGGAGCTGGCTCGGATGGTCTGGTAAGTATAACTTTTTTTTTAGCACCTAAACAAAAGCGAGTACTTAACCCTTGGGTAGTGGGTAGCCACACTGCAAGGTTAATAATAGTGCTGGTGTTCATATATTTTTAAATATTGTATATCCTATATTAAAAGATAAACCTAGTTTTCTCTACATCTGTTGTCTTCAAATTATATTTTGTTTTCTTTGCAGTTGTTTTATTATACAAATTCACCTTAGAATATGATAAACTTTTGCTGCATAGAAAATGGCCTCATTTGCATGTTATTCATTGTCATACGAAGTCTCCATCCTTCATCAGAGCACTTTCATGCTGGGAGACACTTTGGCTATGTCCAGGACAGAGGTTGCTAGTAACAGCTCAATTCTGGCAGCAGGAATTCTGATAGTAAGCTAGGCAACACATCTACAGCCTTTTTTGGGAGAGTCAGGCAGATTAGACCATGGACCATAGATCTATGGCCATGGTTATTAATGGTTATTAAGGGGTTGAAATAAAACAGCATGCTTTTAATGTTTATATTACATTTATATGATTCGCCATAATAGCTATGAGGCCTTGCATTCTCTATTTATGCATTGTCACTGTCGACTGTGAAACAGATGCTGTTCCTTCTTTCTACCCTTATTCAGGCTGATTACAATGCTCTCCATGCATATAAAAGGCATAAACACTTCATAAATTATATCAAACACTTAAAGAGTAAAAAAACAAAACAAAACATGAGACATAGCTCTTGTAAACGAAATTGATTCCTTTTTACTCAGATCCTGTCATCTATTCTCATTTATATTGTTAGCCAAAGCTGAAAAAGCAGAATTCACTCTTCTCAGTCTTCATAAGGATTAGGGATGACCTGAGAATCGGACTGCACTCGGTCCCAACTTGAGCTTCTCTGAACTAAGATGGATGCTCCTTCCGCTTCCGCCCAATCAGCTGCAGCTGGGGAATTTCCTGCCTGCAGCTGCACATAGGCAAAAGGGTGGGATGCAGTGATGTCATTGCCCCTATATGGCACCATGGCTATATTAGGTACATAAGATAAAGAATATATATTAGGAGAAAGACATCCCGCCTCTCTGTTTATGGTCAGCTGAAGGGTGGAGAATGTCCCAACTCGCAGCTGATTGGGCGGAAGGCCCATGTAGCATCCATTTTCAGAGAACCTCAGGTTCGGTCAAAACCTGAGCTCATCACTAATAAGGATCTTTGTTTAAGCCATGTGACTAGAATTTGCAAATGTCATTTGACTCAACTGAAAATAAGCATCCTTATTCTGATATGTTTGCTTTGTGAATTTCGCCTTTTATCTTTTTGCCACAGGGTGGCCAGTGCAGGGAAAGTGCTTGTTATCAGGTCCACATTTAATGCACATATTACTGCTTTTTACTGTTGATCATAGAAATCTACTTACAGGAAGACCTGGGGAGCCAGGGATACCAAAAGCTCCATCCTTTCCTGGATATCCTTCAAAACCTGCTGCACCCGGGGAGCCAGAGGTTCCTCGTTCACCTTTTGCACCTTTAGATACAATAGACCAATAATTACTTTTGAAAGGTAATTTGTAATGAGGTTATGAGTTTCATTTTTGAAAACTCGATATTGTTTGACATCAAAAATAATTTTTGTTACATACTTATGGAAAAAAGACTATATATTCCTTTTATAGGTGTTGAGACAATCTGACTACACAATATTAATTTGTGATTTTACCTGATGTTGATTGTTAGTGTAATGGAAGGAGATTTCGTTCACACACAAGAGCCTGCCCTGTCCTTTCAGGACAATATGACATAGCAGTGCCATTTGCTGACGTGAACTCTAAAAGTCTGTTCACTCTGCATGAGTTGCCATGCTTTTGCCTAATTTTCCAATGCAGAAAAATGCACAGACAAGAGAATATGTTGTTTTCAATAGGACCTGTTCACACCAAAGGACCTGTTTACTTCAGTACATTGCAATTAGAAAATGTTCTGTATGCTTAGATTAAAGTGATTTAATAAGTCAAACCCTTAGTGCGGTACAACAAGCAAGTAAGAAGGCAACACTTTCTACCGCTTCTCAATTAATCTCGCCATACATGTCAATGAGAATGCAAAAGCAGCTTGAAACAGATTGATGCATCTTAAAAGTTCAGAAGAGGGCGACTTTAGGTCAAAGTCACCTGTCAATGAACTCTGAATGATCTCAGTAGCTTCTCAAACTGATGATAAATGCAAGTGGAATGCACCCTAAAGCAAACTGCATCTGTCCATTGGGCCAGCCTCAAAGCCTGCTGACATAGGCCTTTATTTTCTTCAAATGTTCCACAGCATGCCACTCTAGCATTCAGTAACTGCCCCGTTATAATCAGAATTTCAGATTGGCACTTTAATAAATAAAACCATCTTCTTAAATATAGTTCTGTTAGCAGAAGTTCAGAAGCATGTATAAAAGCTACCTGGAAAACTCCAACATTTCAGAGTGCTTTGTTTCTTTATAAAGTGCACCTAGTAATGGACAAAGAAAGGAAAATATATTGATGAAGAATCAGAACACTCTGAAATGTTGCAGTCCACCAGTCATCATTTGCACATGTGCCCCATGGGAACTTTTAAAGCGCTATAACAAAGAGAATGGTCCATGTTATAATGCTGTATTGCCTGAAGTAAGGATAAGAGGATGTTGACCCAAAGACTGACACGTAGTCCCCTTTCATGTGGGATCTGGCTTCCAATACACTAACATGGGTCTTGTAATGTCAGTTTTTTCCTCCATCAAGGAGGAGATGTGTGCACAGTTCAATAAACGTACCAGCCCATCGCACCCCTGATCAGATAAAACCCAAAGTGTAGGGTGGGTGCTTAAAAACACCTGCCTGGCACCCAGAACTGCATATCCCAGGTGTCGGGAGATATAAACCTTGCACCCCTGCAATTATCAATGTATGATGCCCTATGGGTTTAAATAGCAACCAGTTTCTTAAACCTGGTTTGAGTCGGTAGCACTGAACATGTTTAAAGTAAACCTGTCCTGGCCTAAAAGCGGGGAGGAGAGACCTGTCAGGAGACCGAGCGGGGTAGTGCAGGTATTGGAGCCCTACCAGGAGGCCAAGTGGGACAGTGTGAGGAGAGCTATTCATGACTGGGTTGAAAGTAAATATTTACTATCTCCAGATTGTGAATGAACAGGAAGCCTCTGTACTGAGAGATTCCTGTTCATTGAGTGTTGGGGCTGCGGAAAAAGAGATTGAGAGCTGCAGAAAAAAAGATTGAGGACCCTGTGTACTCAATCTCTTTTTCTATTTTAAAAAGCCCGTAACAGTAAAGTAAAAAAAAACCCATAAAGACAAAATAACTAAACAATAATTTTTTTTTTTTTTAAAAGGTTGGAAACAAAAGTCATTTTTGGTTTTGGCCTGATGAATATTTAAAATTTCAGTTTCGGTTTAAAAATGTTTATTCCTGTGCATCCCCAGTTAATATATTACTTAATCATATTTAATATATTAAATATAATGAAAAAGTTGACTACGAATTAAAGTGCACCCAAACACTGCAGGTAGGTAAACTGCAATTACACTTATATTGTAGCCCTCCTGCCTCCATTTTCCAATGTCAGTCCTATATTTACATGGTGAGTATAAGACTGGCAGGGAAGGCTTTTAGTGGGCCGGATTACAATATAAATGGAACTACACCAAATTATCAGAAAGTTTAATACTCTTTCTATTTTTATTTTGAAAAATAAATCATACCAGAAGGTGTATTCACAAACACTTCCTTTCCTAGGGTGACAACACATACTCAGTTTAGCTGCAGTAATGTCACCCTTTCCTCAGTGCTCCCAGCTGCAACAAAGCACAGAGGGCCGTACACATACAAACTAGGTATTCTATTGCAAAAGTTTAGTTCTACTTTAATTTTGTTATCAATAACTGTTAACATGAAACATAATGTTGAATATGGCCAGTTAATGCTCAGTTGAAGCCAACTTAAAATAGGGGAGAACCTGGTAACTTTCTTTTCCAAGCTTTAGTTTCACAGTATCGTTCTTAACAGTGAAATTGTTTCACTCAGAACTGTCTGCAAATCCACAGAATAGGCTGCACAGAAGTATTGCTGGTCTCTATGTAAGTGTGGCCATGCGTGTATTTTAGTTTTGTGCTGCCCTAGGCAAAACTAAACCCGAGCACCCCCCCATCCCTAATCTAAATTAGTCCCACCCCTTCCTGTTTAAGGCATTTTGCATAACCTGTCAGTCGCGGGATACAGCGTGCACGGTTCTAACAGGTTGCGCTATCAACGTAGCGGGACGCTCTAGTTCTACCTTTGCAATAGCCACTTTCTCCATTCCTGGCTTGATGGGCTCCCTAGTTCTGCAGCTACAATAACCATTCTCTCCTGCCCTGCCATGCTGTGCTAGTCTCTAGTTCTGCAGCTGCAACACCGATCTTCTGCCTTCATATGCTGAGCCCTTTAATTCTGCAGTTACCAATCTTCTGCCTCGGCCGCTGGGCTCTGTAGCTTGCCCCGCTCTAGAGACATAACCCTGCACAGAGTTTATAGGCTGCACTTCCCCGGACTCACCACCACAGAGGTGCCGATGAGCACGATGACATCTGGATCTCAGCCCTAGGGTCCTGCGGAAGCTCCTCCGCTGCCTGAAGTCAGAGATTTGGGTGCTGGTTTCTCAGGGAGTTCCGGCGCATGAACAGCCAGTGCATCTGGACGAAGGTCATACACACACCATTTAATTGCACAGCACCTTGACCAGGAAGAGGGAGGAGCTGCAGCCGGCATATATGTTGGAGTAGGCGTCATAGGTGGACACTTTGGTCCCCCAGTCAAAGAAGCACCAGGTCCAGGAGTACTGGCAGTCATTTATGAATAATTTATAATATAATTTATTTTTTCCCCCTACCTAACTGGTTACACCCCTGAGTGCGGCAGTGGTCTGACTACAACACACCAATCAACAATGCATGCTGAGGAGGGGATTTGCGGCCAGGGCTGGGAGTAACAACAGCACTGAAAGGAATGACACAAGGCAATTGGAGCATGTAGAACAATGTTACAAGCTTATGGCCTATTTCGAAGTTGGCTTCAATTGGGGTTTGGGTTTGTTTACCTGTCCACCAACTGTAGAGATAGATGAACAGATGTGCCACACCATAGTTATACACATAAAACAATGCACAAACTTTCTACCTGGTAGCTGGATTACTCCAGAAAATGCAGGAAAGCTCTGATCTGAAAGAGCCAATCTGCAAGAACTGATAACATGGTGAGCTGCTGTTGGAAGTACCATCTACATGTTTACAATAACAGTAATAGTAGGCATGATGGTTTAACAGTCTTGTCCTTTTTTGTATGATGGATGCTGGTGACATAACAGCACCACCACCATGTTTCTAATAACAGAAAAATATGGGGAAGAATGCAAAGGTACAGGCCATGATAGTTGACCAGTATTATACTTTTGCAGGATAATCAGTATGCCACACAACCTTCAGGTTTCTAGTAACAGAAGATTATGGGAATCAGTAACAAATCAGCAGTAGCCTTGAGAGTTCAGCAGCTCTAACTTTCTATGCCACAGTCATGTCTAGGAAAAATGTGTGATATTTTTTATATGGCACTGTAGCTTCAATAATACCACTTTATCAGCACTGCATGGCTATGCAGTCTTGCAATGTCTAAGCATATGCTGCACTTAAGAAAATTATCTGACCCTCTCATGGCTGCTCCTCAAATGCATTAAGAGTAGCCTAGGGAGTATTGTCCTAATTGTCCTTTCTGACTTCCTATATGCATGTGCTAGTGGAGTTTATATATGATTGAGTTCCAATTAACATTTATTATTAAAAACTGAGTGTGTGTATGAATCACATTGTTATGTTTAAAGTGTTGGTATATGTGGAACATATGACAAGAGGATTAAATGGCTATAAATAGTCACTGCTCAGAAGGGAGATTTACAGAGAATTTTAAAAGAAGGAATTACCTTTTTCGCTAATGTACACTGTGTCTCCTTTGTCTCCCACAGGTCCAGAAAGACCATCAACGCCTCGAATCCCCTTAAATTTAAGCACACAATATCACTCATTTACAAAAACGCTACAAAAAGATATGATAAAGTGATCTACTTTTCATTACATGACATGCAGATTGATATTTTGCTTCCTACACAACCAACATTGTACTGCCACATTGTCAAGAAATAGCAAACATAAGCAAAACTTTGTCATATAAATATTTTAAAAATATGGTTAAAAGATTTCCAGCAAATGGCATCCCACAGATTTCAACTACTATGATGAATGCATTTCAAAAACTACTGTGCCAACAGCAAGAATAGGGGATGCTAATGTATAGTATGGCTAGACCTCAGCATTCTTAAACCGGACCTTCCCCTCCCCAAACCTAAAAAGCACAGGTGCATGCAGCTCTGCATGTTGTAAACACATTCCAGTCATAGGTAGAATAAACATTACTTGTGTGCTCAAAACTAAATGTATTTTACTTCCTACTTTTCAGAGGCACTGGTGATGTAGGCTGTGTGGAAGGCTGTGTGGAAGGCTGTGTCACCAATGCCTTCCAGGGAGAACTTGTTTGCAAACCTCAAAATCTTGTGAGATCCTTGTTTTTTTTTTCTGCACATGTATGAACAATAACAAGCTGCATGCGTTTTGTGAGATCTGACCGCCGTCATGGGTGGGCCGGCACAGAAACAAGGCAGAAAAAGACAGTCACCACTGACATATATTTTTTGAATGACAGAGCACATTTCTGACCAAACGGGGAAAGATACATGGGATTGGGAAAAATCAACAATAAAGAGGCAATACACATAAATACAAACACACACACGGTGAACTGGATGGACCTTAGTCCTTATACAACCTCACCTACTATGTTATTAACAATAAGTGAGTTTATATGTTTTCCTATAATCATTTCATTGGTGTTTGCAGTTAATTAAAGAGGAGGGAAAGGTGCACTTTAATCAGTTGTTACCACCGGAAGATAAAAATGGAATTCCAGGCAAAACATTTTTTGAGCTTTGGATAGAGGGTTAAAACATTGGCATGGTTTTAGTACTGTCCATGTCCCCACTGGGGAGATCTTTCCTCACTGTCTCTGTGAGTGGGGAAATTTCCTAAAGGAAGACAAAGACATCTATAACAACCTGACAGTTTTTGTGTACCTCAGCCACTACACCCACACCCTGACTGGAGCTTATAAAGATAACAGAGTTTGCTTTGTGATACCAAGCAGCCTACTATCACCATATATGGTGCTAGTGGGAGCAAGCTCATCTTCGGTTCATTTTGGTAGCCATACTTAACACTGAGTATATATTTGTTTCACTTTGCAAACATAACTATAAATGTAAGATATTCATTTAACTGACACATGTAATAAATTCTACACTTGGTCCCCTGATGGGACAATTCAGTTGACAGCTTTTTCAAAATACGCATACATCTTTGGAACTGACTTTGGTTGACATTTATTTACACAACCATTATTATTCAACTGTATAAGCTTGATTTGGAAGTATCAGATGATGTAACATCAAACGTAATGTCTCACCTTAATACCAGGAGCCCCTGGAAGACCAGGGCCTCCTACGTCTCCTCTTTCACCTTTAGGCCCAGGTTCACCAGAAAAGCCAGGAAAGCCTATGGGCCCTGGTTCCCCAGCAGGCCCCTTTGTAGCTTCATCACTGCCAGGACATTTACATTCTCCTTCTTCACCTGGAATATTATTAAAGTGTAAAGGCAAGGAGCACACAGAAATCAGTAATACACAATATTATCAAGTGTGAACACATAAAGTATTTTTTTATTTTGGATGGCTATGTATGGTTAAAGCCCCTGTAATTTGTTTTTGTCATCTGTGTCCAATTTGGGAGATTTTCCTTCACTTCCTGTCCCATAGACCCAACAGAAAGGAAAGGAAGTGAAAGGAGATCTTTCCAAAGTGCGGGAAATCCCTTCATAGAGAGTTGGACAGTTGTCAACTGAACAAAATTCCCCGTTGGAAGGTTCCTTTCTAATCCTTTTCTGGTATCAACTCAAAAATTAGGATTTGCTCTTACTTTCAGTCCTGGTGACTTACTTTCAGTCCTGGTCTCCAAAACAAATAGAGAAATAGAATCTCCCTAACAGGGACACAAGCAGCAAAAAAAAAAAGGCTTTGTTTTATATACACTATAACTTTCATATATGACAGTTGCAATGCTGTGCAGGGTTGGCATCAATCTTAGGGCCTGTGCCAATTAACTTTTATTTAAGTGGGTTTTGCATTTCCATACCAGCCTATAGGAATGCAAAAATTGCATGAAGCAGGTAAAATGAAGGTCAAACGAAAGCCAATTGAGAATGCATCTGTTAATGAATTCTTGAATTGTAGTTCTCTATAGCTGTTGGTAGTAATTATTGCTGGGATTTATAGTCCGCTATAGCTGATGGTATTCTGCATTGTTGTGTAATGTATTGCTTGGAATTGTAGTTCTCTATAGCCAATGCCATTCTGCAATGCTGTACAATGTATTTCTGAGTTAGTGGCAGAACTACCAGTGGCGCAGCAGTCATTCACGCGCACAGCCCTGACGTGGCATCCCTCCACTACCAGTGTGCTTTACATTTCCTAAACCGATAAATACATTCACACTACTGTTACAAGGGTGGCAAAGGTGGCAGACAGGGGCATCCGGGGAAGAGGCAGAGCGGGAGGAGGGCCAAGTTGCCGCACTATGGGCCTCTGGGTTGTAATTGCCCCCAGGGTTAAAAGTTGCCAGTCAGCCCCTGGTTCAAACTGATGCCATTGACACACATCTAAAGCCTGTCAACCCATCAGCACATCAAAGTGTTTTAAAAGATAGCTTTGTATTGTTTCACAGACTATCTTGTGTATACTTGTGGATGTTTCTAGATGACACACTTATGATAGCCCATAAAAGCCCATCAAAGCCCATAATAACAAACATGTCAAACTAATATTTTTTTATATTTACATTACACCTCTACAGGGCAGAAAATGAGGATACTTCTCTAAGAGCCCTTTTCTACTATATCCAAAACGAAGAAAACAAGTTTGGGCTCAACAACACTCTAATTATAACACTGATCTAAATATAAAAATCACCTTTATGTCCTTTTGAACCAGCAAAGCCAGGATATCCATCTGATCCATCATCTCCTGGAGATCCTTTAGCACCTTTTCTTCCAATGCGTCCACCTAAAAAGGCAATATGAACATGTGATGGAAGCTGAGTGCTGCAATTTGAATGCAAAAATACTTTAATTTATATAATTAGTCTTATTTCTAAACTAAAGGAAATGAAGGTGGGTGAAACTGGCACATTGCCTTGGGCCATATCAAATAAAATCTCAAGAAATTAGAGAGGAACAAACAGAGAAGAAAGGGAAAGAGAGACTGCTGATAAGAAAATATGTTATAGGTCCCACTTATATTTGTGGAAACATTTTTAAGCTATGCAAGAAACCTGTGCTGACGCAAACATGGTGGCTGCCACTGCTGACCTACTTGTGAAAATGCTAGTTCCTTGTTGACCCTCTGATATCAGTACAAGTATATAGCAGGACACTGAAAAGTCAGAACTCCTGACTCCTGTGTATACTAGTTCCAATTCAGTGCTTCTGAAAGTATTGAAACCAGTTGATTGCCATGACTTCCAGGCATTTTCACAGAATTCTCTGTGTAACATCCAACAATTAAAATTAGGGATGCACCATCATATCGGCCGCGGAAACATATCGGTCGAAAATGGCAGTCAGCCTCCGGTGACAGCTGTCAAGATGGAGAGCGTGTGCGAACACTCAGTGATCAGTGATCGCTGAGTGTTTGTAGATAATTGAGGGCAGAGTATGTTTTCTTTTTCCTCAATTATGAATGAATGGGAAGTGATCTACATCACCTCCTGTTGATGCATGATTGTAGATATAGTAAACATACTATATCCACATGTTATGAATGAACAGGAACACTCAGCATATAGGATTCCTGTTCATTTATAACAGGGGCTGCAGAAAAAGAGATTAAGGACTCAATCTCTTTTTCTATTTTAAAAGGGAAATATCAGGGGTCTGTTTAGACCCCTAATATTTCCCCGAAGCCCCCAACAATTAAGTAGAAAAAATATTTAATAAAAATGAATAAATAAAATATAAAACAATTAAAAAGTTTCTAAAAAAATAAATAAAAATAAAATATTTTTAAAAATTTGAGAAAGTTAGAATAAAAAACGTTTTCGGTTTTGGCCTGACATTTTTTTTCATTTCGGTTTAGTTTTTTGAATTTTCATTTCGGTGCACCTCTAATTAAAATGTAAAGTAATTCACTTTTAGTAAGAAGTGCTTGGTTGCAAGTGTAGGTTCTTGTCTTTCTTGTGACTTAAACACACTGAAGCAACTGCTAATTACCTGGATACCCTGGTACACCAGGAGGTCCTCTTAGGCCAGGCTCTCCTGATTCTCCATCTCTCCCTTTTTGAAAGGCAGGAAATCCTGGGTTCCCTTGATATCCTTTTTGACCTCTTTCACCTTTCAAACCAGGAAATCCTGGAGGACCTGTACAAGAAAAAAATGTTTGGTCAGCAACTTAATAAGACAATGAAGAACACAATACAATAATGTCACATGCTAAATTACCTGGGAAAGGGCTGGGTGATCCCATCAAGCCTGGAAGGCCAGGACTTCCTTTCTCTCCAGTTTCTCCATCAAGACCAACGTTGCCAGGAAATCCTCTATCACCGTTTTCTCCTGTAAGCAGGCAACAGATTGATTCATTTTTATTACTAGAAATGTTGTTAGTTATGATCTGTTATTTATCTATGGCTTCCCTGCTATAATTCATGACTGTAATACTAGCCAGCTTATATTAAACAGATACTTTATTTAAAATGTATTTCAGTTCTTTTTTTATGTTTATACATTATGTGTCACCCCAATGGGGCATAGAAGTTTTAATGTTAGATAGAATTTATATAAATTGTCTCCCTAAACCATTTTTCCTAGCTATTCCATGGTTAGTTATATGCTGCCATCTAGTGGCCTTTTTTTTGGTAATGCACTTGTTTTCCAGGTTCCTTTCCCTGATCTATGACACATTTCTTTGTATGTAATGCTCCTCCCTTCTTCTTAAGTATAGTACTTCCTGTGTCATGGATGCAGCTAACAGGCCACATGTAACAGGGACACATGTATTCTACATAGTACGCTACGAAAGTATCGTCTTTTGACCGCATAATACCGCAACCATTCATCAGCTGTATCCTGTTGTCTGATGTACAGAATAAAGCAACCTTTGTGGATGAAAAGGTATTGGTGAGTTCAGCTATCTGACAAGGATTGTCCTCATTGATTGTATCCGCTTATACAGGCCAGGCATAGAGGTCTCAGCAAGGGATAAGTCACTAGCACAACAATCGGAGTCAGAATACATTAGTTTTTGTTTTATATCTGCTTTTTACTATCTAGTTAATAAATGTAGTTAATAAAGTAGTTAATAAATGTCAAAGGATTTCTTCAGCCATACATGTTAGCTAAAGAGACAGTACAGCTGCCTGCCTTTTGTTTCACTTTCTCTGACCAAATCTTCAGAATGAGCTGTTAAGGGACATGTGGCTGCTTTGTCTCATTCACTTGTGTGTTTGCATTTCATCTTTAGCTACTGACCTCTGTAAACACCAGGCTTTACAGAAGAACTGGAGCCTGGAGAAAGTGAAAAGGAGACTAAAACTCCACATGCTGGCTCAAAGGAAGAATGCATCAAGATCAAACAAAATATTTATATACATTATTTCATATTTACCTGATTAAAAAAAAAAAAAAGATTTTATTCTCTTAGTCCTGGCCATAATAAACAAACTGCCATACATTGCCTTCAAGCACATTTTGTGGTGCAGTACAAAACCTTATTGACATACAGTGCAATGCTGACACTGAGTAAATGTTTTCACTAAATATTTGTATAATGTTTATTACACAAGCTTGTTTGTATTTAGGGGCGTTTAAATGCAAGTTCATCTTTATGTCCTTGATTTAGAACAAATGAAGCTGATTCACTAAAGGAATTGAGAATCTTTAGTTATTGTATGAATATTTATGTTAATTATCCATGTGAAAAGTAGATTCCTGTGCAGATGAATATTTGAAGCAAATGTCTACACATTTTTTGAGTAATGATTTCTAATCCCTTTAGTAAATAAGCCCTAATTTTTCAGTTAGATTCAGATACTACTTCTGTTCTCATAACTCGCTGTTTCATTTTTTCCAAAGAGATTTTATTAATGTAGATTCATAATAAAATAGGATACAATAACAGAGTATGAAAGCAGTATATACTGTAACAAGGTATCATCTGTCAATACATCAAAGAGTCAGGTTAAACCAAGTTAAAGGCTACATTGCGAGTACCAGGGTATAACCTTTTTAGGCGGGAACTTTGTGACAAGTGATACTGTGAGAAAATGTGTAAACTGCACAATAGAGGCAAGTAGGGCAATTTCCGCAGCACATAGCAGGAATGGTGATATTTGTTAACTTATAATAAACAGGATCTAAATGGGCCAAGACAGATGGGTGAAAAACGCACTAGGGTGGAGTATATATACTCTTAATGCCCGAGGGTATCACAGAAGGTAGTGGTAGTAAAGAAAATAGCAGGGTAGTAGAAGGGCAGTCAGTAGGAAAGGCAGGCAAAGCAGTATGAAAAGTGAGAGGAACGAGGTAAAAAGATAAGGGGAGGAACTGGGTCAACATGATAGAAAGAGAGAAAGGAAAGGAAGTTAATGCACTTCCGAGTCTAGACTCTCCATCTCCATTACAGAAGAGTGGACAGGAGTCTAAATTAGTAAAACCGCGTTAAGGATGACACCTAGCACCTTGGCATGGGGGGAGAGTTTGATAGTTGTGTTATAAATCTCAAGGGAAAAGTTGGGGGAAGGTGCACGGGCAGGAGGAAATATCATGTGCTCAGTTTTTAAAAGGTTGAGTTTTAAGAAGTGTTGTGACATCCAGACTGATATGTCATTTAGTAGATTAGTGAAACACAAGGACACTAGGGGGTGAGCTGTGGAGTAGAAATATATATTTGGGTGTCATCGGCATAGAGATGGTATTGGAAGCTATGTGAGGTTATTAAATGACTGAGGGAGGAGGTGATGAAAGAGCAGAGAAGAGGTCCAAGGACTGAGCCTTGAGGGACCCCTACAGAAATAGGAAGAGGAGGGGAGGAGCTAGATTTGTAGGTGACACTAAAGGAGCGCTCAGATAGGTAGTAGGAGAACCATGAGAGAGAGCAGAGTCTTGTAGGCCAAGTGAGTGGAGTTTTGTGAGGAGGAGCAGGTGGTCAACAGTGTCAAAAGCAGCAAGAGTAAGGAGCAGCGGCCATTGTTTTTAGCAGTTAGTAAGTCATTAGTGAGTTTTAGGAGGGTGGTTTCAGTGGAGTATGGGGGGCGAAAACTGAACTGTAAGGGGAAACCAGATTTCAGATATTTACTTTGTCAGAGATGTTATTGATATTTGTTCACTTTAAAAGGGATGAGGCAGTAAACCTATATAGGTGTAGATATGTAGGCATGTCATACTTATCGTTAGCATTAAATATTGTTACCTTTCCGTGCTGTAAGACTTGTAACATAGACTGGGGGCCCAGGAGCACCTCTTTCACCTTGTTCTCCCTAATTATTGTGCCACAGAAAAAGATATTTTATAATACAAATGACAGTAAAATACAAATACACTACAGACTTAAAGTAGTTCTCACTTTCAACAAGGCGACCATTTTGATCAGCTATTACTCTGCCACCTAAAAGCAGCTCTCAGGCTGCTAGAGGGAAACTTTACTTTTGGTTTAACCCTCTAATTAAAAGACAGCTATGGCAAGTGATTGATAAGAGCAGCATTTTTATATCAATATATATATA